TGACGATGCAAAAAGGTTTCTAGTTATAAAAGATTGTTATGAAAAGAAAGTATTACATCCAATTCATTCAAACTTCCCGCTCGTTGATACAACCCATTTAAACGAACAGCGAATCGTCGACATCAAAGGTGCCGCCGGGAGTGTCGCCTCTTGTTATACCTCCTCTTTGCCGTGGTCGTGCCCTCGTGGTTCGGCCCGCGCTGAAGGCGCGCTTTGATTGGCCAGTATTTTTTGTTAATAACTCGAAAACGAAGCCTTAATCAACATTTTGGCAAAGGAAAAAGTTGTTTAGAATCACCTTGTCAATCATCCCTCTTCGGTTGTTGACGTAGTCGTGAGACACCCTGTATAGGAAAGAGACAGATATACGCGCTTCGCCTATATTTGGCTACTCAAAGGTTGACAATCGGGACAAGTTGAAAGTTGAAAAGGTTGAAGTGTATTTAGTATACTATTTAACTATTAAATAGGTTTTATTAGTAGCAGTGGTAAAAATGAAGTAGAAATTATTTTACACTTTTTAGTGCATTTTGAAGTCGGTTGTATTTTTTGTTAAAAATTATTTTATAGTAATACCAGTGCCAGCAGCTATAGACGATCCCCAAATGTAAACAGTGGTTATAAAAGAAATATTATTATGAATCTTTGTAAAGACATTGTATTCATGATAACTTACAAAATACTTGAATTTATAACTTAAATATAAAATAGTAATAGTGTTTCTAGCTCCGTTGGCGCCTTGCAGCACAGCACACAGACAAATACAAGTACACAGATATAGCCCTAATACAAGAACCATGGATATTCCAAGGGCAAGTAGATGGGCTAAATCGGAAACAAGGCTCCATCTTCCATGGGGACTTGGAGAACGGTCCCAGGGCATGCGTCTTCGTGAAATGAGGACTCGGGGCAACGAAACTGACAGAATTCTGTATAAGAGACCAAGCAGCAGTCCTACTGCCAGCCGGAGGTAGCGGGGCGAATCTGGTGGTTTGCTCAACTTACCTGCCCTACGACTCTGAGGAACCCCCGCCTACGAGGGAACTCAGAGAGCTGGTAGACTACTGCAAGGTCAAAGGGCTGCAGCTATTGATTGGGTGCGACGCAAACGAGCACCATATCGTCTGGGGCAGCAGCAATATTAATAAGAGAGGCTACTAGAATACCTTTCAACCACGAACCTGGAGACTCTAAACAGAGGCTCCAGTCCAACTTTTGTTACCTCCAGGCGTCAGGAGGTACTCGATATTACGCTGGGCTCCAGCAAGGTGGCCCAAGCTATACAAGACTGGCAAGTGGATGATGAGGCTACGCTCTCTGACCACAGGCTAATCACGTTCAAGTTAATGACAGAGTCAGACCTAAGGGCTTCGGAAACATACAGGAACCCCAGGGCCACCTGTTGGCCTCAATATCGTGAGAGCCTGAAGGAGGAGCTCAGGGGGCACTGTGTGAGACCGAAGACCGCGGAAGGAGTCGAGATCGAGGTCGCAAGACTGCAGACCGCGATCATCAGATCCTACGAAAGGTCCTGTCCAACAAAACAAAGGGGAGGGAGCAGAAGAGTTCCTTGGTGGAATAACGAGCTGAACAAGCTCAGAGCCAGGGTTCGGAAGCTACTCAACAAGGCCATGAAGGCGAACACTGAAGCAACTTGGGACTTATACAAAGAGGCTCAGAAGACTTACAAAAAACTGATCAGAGCATCAAAAAGGAAGACCTGGAAGAACTTCTGCCAAGAGACCGAGGCCCTTCCGTTGGTAGCTAGGTTTCGGAAGGTATTTGTATCCGGGCCCCCACAAAATCCGGAAGGATTTAAACTTCCAAATGGAGGCGTCACAGCAGACCCTCCGCAGACGTTGAGGCACCTTATGGTGTCGCACTTCCTAGGCTCGGAGCTGGTACCGGAAGAACAGTTCCAGGAGGAACAGGTACCTCCCAGGAACAGGTACCTCCCAGGAACAGCGTACGGGACTGGGAATTGGCCTCCAAGCTGGTCACGATGGACAGGTTAAGATGGACTATTAACTCATTCAGCAGGTACAAAAGCTCGGGTGTGGACGGGATCTTCCCGGCTCTTCTTCAGGAAGCCAAAGAGGACCTATTCAGGCAGCTGTGCAAGGTATACAGAGCATGCCTAGCAATGGGTTATGTACCACAACAATGGAGAGTAGCCAGGGTGGTCTTTTTACCTAAGCCAGGCAGAAGTGGCTACGACACGGCGAAATCTTATAGGCCAATCAGCCTAACATCCTTTCTGTTAAAAACGCTAGAAAGGTTGGGAAAGGCACTGGCAAGGAGACCAATACATGCTTCACAGCATGCATATCAGTCGGGCAAATCCGTGGAGACGGCGCTCCATCACCTTGTAAGGGAGATTGAGGAGGCCCTATCTCAGGGAGAGTCCGTCGTGAGTGTATTCATAGACATAGAAGGGGCGTTTGACAGCACGTCCTTCAATGTGATGAATGAAGCAGCGAGCAGCTTTGGAATTGACGGCAGTCTGATTACCTGGATCGACAACATGTTACGAACCAGGACCATAATAACCTCCTCCAACGGGTCTTCGTTGAGGGCACGCATCGCAAGGGGATGCCCGCAGGGGGGAGTCCTGTCTATCCTGCTGTGGACCCTTGTGGTAGACAGGCTGCTCCGTAGGCTCAGCGAGGAAGGTTTTCTGGTGCAGGAGTATGCGGATGACATCTGTATATCGGTCAGAAGCAGACACCCGCACTACATAGCGAGGAGACTGCAAGAAGCACTCACACTCGTGCAAGAATGGTGTCTATCACACAACCTTAAGGTAAACACTACCAAGGCGGAGATGGTACTGTTCTCGAGGAAAAGGTGCTTTGATTTCAAGGCTCCCTCATTGTTCGGGGTGGAGATCAGTATATCCACCTCAGCGAAATTACGAAACTCCACATCGAGAAGCAGGCACAAAAGGCAATTGCAACCTACTGGGCCTGCAGAAGGATGTTTGGAGCGACGTGGGGCTTAAAACCAAGAATGGTCAGGTGGATTTACACCGCAATCTTGGTACCCCAACCAACATATACCTCCGTTGTATGGTGGACCTCTATGAGGAAACACTGCAACAGGAGGAACATAGAAAAGATCTATCGCCCAGCATTGCTCGGGATAACTGGTGCCTTTCGCACCACGCCGACTATGGCAATGGGGGCGCTCATGGACCTGGCACCACCACACATTGTGGTAGAAGCAGGGGCCAGAAGCACAGCCGTAAGACTATTCTTAGCAGGCAAATGGAAGGGGGCGGCAACGGGCCATACGTGCAAAGAATCACGTGCAAAGAAGCGTGAGAAGCAAACCGGGAGGAACTCCTTACTCCAGGAGGGCTGATCTGGTTTACAGACGACTCTAAAACCAATTCGGGAACCAGAGCAGGAATCTGGGGGGAGAGACCCAGAGCGGAAATATCGCTGTCCCTGGACCCACATGTATCCATTCTTCAGGCGGAAGTGTTTCTCATATGGGCCTGTGCCAAGTTAAACTTGGAATGGGGCTACAGGGATAAACACATCTGCAGTGACAGTAAGGCTGCGCTTGGATCCCTACGAACCACGATAGTGCGATTCAGGCTGGTACAAGACTGCACTGACACATTGGAACGGTTAGCTGGAAACAACAACCGCGTCAACTTGATCTGGGTACCTGGACACGCATGTATCCCAGGAAATGAGACGACGAATATGTTGGCAAGGGAAGGAGCCAGACGGCCCAGCCCAGACTCAACATATCGCATAGGTGTCGCCAGGGGGGCGGTAAAGGAAATAGTGAAGGCGTGGACGAGAACCCAGACCCACCAGACCTGGAACCGCACCCAAGGTATGAGACACACTAAGGCCATGTTTAAAGGGCCATCGACACGGCTAGGCAAGACTTTGAGCTGCAGGAATCAACTGCGTCTACTCGTAGGGCTTATTACTGGGCACTGGTACACGAGGAAACACCTGATGCACCTAGGTACCGAACGTGAACCTGGGTGCCCGAGATGTGGAGAGGAGGATGAGACCCCTCTCTACTTGATATGGCGTTGTAAAGGACTGGAGGCTCAAAGGCGCTCAAGCTTCGGGGTCCCGGCCCTTGACGGCGCTCATGTGTAGGACATTGAAGTGGGCAGGCTTCTGGGCTTTGTTAAGGAGGCCGGCCTTCACAATCTACCACAATACTAACGATAAGAACTGCCCACAAGGGCTCGGGCACAATGGTCCCTAGAGGACTGAGTGCCCGGTGACCTAGCAGTAATAATAATAATAATAATAGTATTGCTAAGAAGTAGTTATAAATAATTTTTAGTAATTTAAGTAATTTAGTATTAAGATTTTAGTATTTAAGTAATGTTTTTAGTAAGAATATATTTTCTTTTTATTATACACAGTAAAAACAATATAAATATATATATTATATCATACTTTATCTCATATATTATACAGTATTATAATTCATTTATGCATGAATAAATAACCTTAGATATTTTCCATGCGGAGATATAATGACTGTATCAATGTCCCCTAACTCCCCCTATATAATAATATAATATACAGTAAAACCTCGTTTATGCGGCCTTCGATCAGCCGAGCCTCCGTGTTATCCAAGACAACGGAAGTGTATGCTCGGATAATACAGAAAAATTCGGATAAAACGGATGAAACCGCTATGCCTATGCTGTACGCGCGTAGTATTTTGCGATCTTTTGTGATTAAATTTCATTCTATCATTTCAAATACATAAAAAACAATTAAAATTTTCGAATTTTTTATTTCTTCCGTGTTATCCGAGTTTTTGCTTATCCGAGGGACCTCCTCCCCACATTACTTCGGATAAACGAGGTTTTACTGTACTCATAAAGTTGATCAGGTACTCGAAAGTTAATATAAACTAACAATGAGATATGGCAATGCTCAGTCTGTGGCAATGGCAATGGCAATGGCTGAAGGCTGTAAGCAAAGGGGTACATACAATCCTTGGTATCGAAGCAATCTTCTGTTACCGTCAACTATATATCAGTGCCGTCAACGCGTCTAACAGCAGTAGTGCGAAGTGTTTCACATTTTTATATTAAGATAAAGCAGATGGCGCTCGTTTTCGAGGCACAAATTACTTACTGTTCCACGTAAGTGACAGACACTGGAACAACATAACCACTTCAATATTTTTGTACTTAATTTATAAAGATTTAACTGTTCACAGCATAGAGTTGTAAATAAAAGTTGTTGCAAAAATGGTGTCTGTCCTGAATACCGTCGATACCGGTCATGAAGACATGATTCATGATGCGGAAATGGATTACTATGGTTTGAGGTTAGCAACTTGTTCCAGTGACAATTCTGTAAAAATTTTTGATCTAAAGAACGGATCGCAAAGTTTGGTAGCCGATCTTAAAGGACACATCGGACCTGTGTGGCAGGTTGCTTGGGCACATCCTAAGTTTGGAAATCTCTTAGCATCTTGCAGTTACGATCGGTATGTTAGACATTCAATGAACTCCAGTAATATGTTTTTTTATACATTCTTCACACATTACTTCTTGTAATAGAAAGGTAATCATTTGGAAGGAACTAGGAGAGTGGACTAAGATCTACGAACATACTGGTCACGATTCTTCTGTCAACTCAGTTGCTTGGGCTCCACATGAATTTGGCCTGATTCTGGCTTGCGGTAGTTCTGATGGTTCAGTGTCTATTCTTACCAATAATGGAGACACATGGGAAACACAGAAAATCACAAATGCCCATACCATTGGATGCAATGCTGTAAGCTGGTGTCCTGCTATTGAACCTAGTTTTGATGCTAGCGGAACACAGAGAAATGGTCCAGTGAAAAGATTAGCAACAGGAGGTTGCGATAACTTAGTTAAAATTTGGAAGGAAGAAGGTGATAGGTGGATCGAAGAAGATAAACTTGAGGCACATAGCGACTGGGTAAGATTTTATTTTCTAAATTTACAAACAATGTAATAAATCATCTATTAACATAAGTATTGAAATATAGGTAAGAGATGTGGCATGGGCACCTGCAGTTGGCCCATCTAAAGCTGCCTTAGCTTCTTGTTCACAAGATCGTAGAGTGATTGTATGGACTTCAAATGATTACACCAGCTGGACACCCACCATCCTGAATGTCTTTGATGATGTAATCTGGAATGTCAGCTGGTCTTTAACTGGAGGTATCTTAGCAGTTAGCGGCGGAGATAATAAAGTGTCTCTCTGGCGCGAAAACACCGAGGGACAATGGATATGCATTTCTGAGACAAATAAAGGTCAAGGAAATCTGAACAACACAGATCAACGTGCGTTATAGGAGCAGAAAAATGTAAGATATTTTTTAAAATAAGTATTGTACATTGAAGATCTTGTTTCATATTAAATAACAATTTTATTCCACTGATTTGTACTCTTATCGTAACATCTAAACACAAAGGAATACACTTTACAAAATAAAACTAAATTTAAAAATTTTACATTTGCGATAAAGAAAAATGATAATTTACAATTTCCGAACGTATGTTTCACAAATACTGTATGAATTATAAAAATATATATATATATATCTTGTAGATCAGAATTTAAACTGTTCAAATATTTATACATCAAAATAAATTATTATATATAGATTAATCTTGCGTATACAAAGATGCCGCGAAAACGATATCCCGTTTGATGGCCGTGCAAGCTTCTTCCATTTTCTCCTTTAAAACGGGGTCGCCTATAGTAACCGCTGCGTTTTTAACATCCCGTAGTGTTTCGCTTAGTTGTTGAATACACCGTACTATAATTCCTTCCTGTACATCTGTTTTCTCCATAATATCAGCAAACGATTTTGCTTTTGCCCAATCGTAAACCACTTCCACTAAACCGAAATTCAGTGGTTGTAACGTTGACAACTGATAGTGTTGTTCTAAAGTTTCCAACTCGGTATATATTTCTTTCAATACCTCGCAACTCTGCATAGAAGATATATTTTAATGAGTACAGTTTTTAGTGAAAAATAAATCAAGAAATAAAAATAAATTATACCCTTTGCAAGTTAGGTGTAAGATCTGGTTCAGCGTCTGTTCGTTGTTGAAATATTAAAGCAGATAATAATGCTGCTATTTCTGCTGGTTGGAGTACAGTTAAAACGTTCTTAAGAATAAGCTCTGTAATTAGTAATTCGTTGCTTCCCATTTGTAGAGCAACCCGGCCTTTTAAAGCAACTGTTTCATTCTCATTTATATATCCTAAATCTCTGAGAAGTGCAACGGCGTTTGTATACTCTGGGTATAAGCTCATTCCTTCGTCGCTAAGTTGAAGTTGAAGTTTCCTTTTCTGACTTTCTAATTCGCTGCGTTCAAATACAGTTTCAAATTGTTCTTCGAAATTTGAAATCTCCGTGCACTTCATATCGTACATAACCTTCTTTAAATCAAGCAAATGTTGTATTTTCATATCTATATCGTACTTCAATTTCATCTCTGTATAAGGTTGTAAAACGGAGGAATCACGTGAAGCGTTAAAAGATAATTTCATTAATTCCTGCATCGCTGTTTCGTATGTTTGACTAGGAGGTTCGGTTCTGAAAATAATTAACATTTAATGATATCGTAAATTACACGCTAAATTATTAAATTATATTTTCTTACTTAAATCTTGGTAACTGTCTCTTTTCCCAGTTTGCAATAACTAGATTGCAATCAATTTTAATTTGACAATTAGTTATTTCTAATATGTTCCAAGCGAATATGTTTAGTACTTCATCAGACGGAACTCCAACTGGCACAAATACTTCTTTTTTTGTTAAAGCAACAATGTCATGCCATTTTTCTGTCTTCTTAAACTTCTGATTACTTTCTTTTTCTGATTTATCTTCTCCAGACTTTGGCACTTCCGAATTTTTCAGTACTAATACTCTGTACTGTCTACCAATTTTATGCTGAACAGTGCTTAATAAGAGAGCTAATTTATTATAATGACTCTGGTAAGATATTAGCAAAACTCTGCCAGGTACTAAGTCTTTTACTGCTTTCTTCTGTGTCTCGCATATGTAAGGTTTCAGATATTTAAGGTATTCTAAGTAATTAATGGCTACTTGATAAAAATCAGAAAGTTTCTTCTGCACATCAGTCAAAGGTGGTAACTTGGATAATTCTTCTTCCACTTTTTCTAGTTCAATCTTATAGATATTCTGTTTCAAGGTTACAGCTGATTCCTTAAACGATCTCCGCATCATTCCTTCAACCGTCACCGACTCGTTCAGTCTTCTTAGATTTAAAACCATCGAATATGTTACTTTGAATTTCGATTCCAAATTTTGTGCTTGTCCGCACATCATAGTTTTCAATTCGTTGAAGTGAGGCACCGCGATCCGACACATAACGATTACCATTCCTGCTGTATCGTGGCCTCTGCGGCCGGCTCGACCAGCCATTTGTATGTATTCAGTGGGATGAAGTATTCGAAAATTATTGCCATCATATTTTTTAATAGAATCAAAGACTACGGTACGTGCTGGCATGTTCACACCCATTGCAAACGTTTCTGTTGCGAATAGTAACTGCAATATTACATTTTTAATAGTCAACGCTTAGAGAGAAAAATAAAAAATAATATAAGACTGACCTTTACGACACCGTTTTGAAAAAGCATTTCTACTATTTCCTTCAAAATTGGTAATATACCACTATGATGTATACCAATCCCATTTTGCAAGAATTCTTGCATCATAAGTACTTGCGGCAACTCTCTGTCGCTGCCCTTTAAGTGTCTAATATTATTTTGAAAAAATGTTCTAATAGTGTGCTTTTCAGTCTCGGTTGTAAGATCAATATTTCTTAATATATAGGCGCTCATGTCACAACGTTTTCTCGATAACATAAAAACAACAACGGGCAACAAGTTCTGTAAAAAGAGCATCAATTATTTATATACATATGTTTTGATGAAATATTACTAAATGCAACTACATCAATCGTACATTGCTCCTTAGGTGGCTTATAAAAGCACTCCATAATACTTGCTCCTGCTTTGGAGTCATCTGTTGTGACATTGATTTTCTCTTAACATCTTTAACATTCTTCGAATTTTGGTTTTTTGAATCCTTGGCGTTTGTTGCTTTGTACCACCTAACATGTATAATGAACAAATAAATATATGTGAGCGTGATCAAGTAGTAAACAAAATAATTACCCATCCAATAAAAATTGTCCACATTCGTCCACCACCAAAAACTTTTCGTCTTTGGTTTTACCGTCAGTTCCAGTATATAAATAATGCTGAAGTGGCACTGGTCTCTTTATAGTACTTATCACGTACATCTTTTTCTTTTTAGTATGACCGACCCAGTCAGCAAATATTATAGGGTTTGGTACAGTGGCGGATAACATTACTATCGTAACTGTTTCTGGTAAAAGAATAACACTTTCTTCCCAGACATGACCACGCTAAAATAACGCTACGCAATAAATCCTACTGTAAAATTAATAAATCGATAGTCTTATATTTATAATCACCTCGTCATTATTAATATAATGTACTTCATCAAATATAACAAATTCTAAGTCTCTTAAAACTTCAGATGCGCCATATAACATGGATTTTAAAATTTCTGTAGTCATGATAAGACAGGAAGCATCTGAATTAATTTGCAGGTCTCCCGTTAACAAACCTACACTATCAAACTTCCTTTTAAATTCTCGGTATTTCTGATTCGAAAGTGCCTTTATCGGAGACGTATAGATGACCCTGCAAATAAATGAAAACTCAATTCGTAATGGCATTTCTTGTTTCGTATGTTTCATTTTACCTTGTCATATGTTTCTGACTTAGAGCAATTGCATATTCCGCTACTGTTGTTTTCCCGGCTGACGTATGAGCGGCAACAAAAACATTACAACCTTCCTCTAATTTAAGAATTGCTTGTTTCTGAAAGGTATCTAATTCGTATGGAAAACTCATGGCCAATTCAGGAATTCTTTTTTCAAAATCAGTTATTGGAACAGACACATCCAATTGTTCTGCCCATTCCGATTTTGTTGTTTCCGGGCGTTTCTCAGAAATCTTTAGAACAGGAATGTCTATGTTCTCTAATAACAAAGCGATATCATCAAACGATGATTGCTGAGTATTTGGAGGTTCCTTGGATTTTTTCTCTGCTTCTTTTTTCTCTGATGACCAAAAATCAAACACATTTCGTTCTTCATTTACAATAGCCATTAAATTAATTTTATCTGCTATAGCTTCAATTTCATTTTTTTCTACTTCTATTTGCTGTTCTTGCATGGACCCCTCTTTTGGAGTGCAATTGTCACTTTTAAACTCTACACCTGCACTGAAACCTTTGGCTAAAGTTCTCAAATTATTTTCAAAGTCAATCTCCTCTACTGATGAATCTTCAATTATTTGGGGTTCATCAAAACCACCAGGCCAGAACAAAATATTGCTGGTATTTCCTACATTAAATATTTACATGTTTTAAACTTGTAAGATATTGATTTTAATTAATAAATTTGAACATGAAAATATACCACGAATATCATCTGTAGGTGGTTCTGGTGCACGAGTCATAGACATTGAATTTCTTGCAGTTTTCCCTGCTGACTCTAACACCACTTCATGCATTTCTCCAAGCTTTCCAGTTATAGGATCTCGATCAAATTTTAACGTAGTACCAAGTGGTGCTAAATCAGTATCTAAAAGGGATAAGATGTCTGGTTTTCTTGGCCAATAACACTGCAAATTGTCTAAATTATACATTGGTAAGTTATCCAGACATTCAATATATCCTCTTAATTCTGTCTTGATATCAGGCCAGACAGGAGGAAATTCAAATGTAAACTGTAAAGCATACATATTGTTAAATTATCACATATAAATGATATATGTTTGTGAAAATTACCTCCTCATTTTTATCGTTTCTCTCCTCCATGTTATAAAACTTTGTGTAGCACAAAGCAATAAAAATCAAAGGTACCTTAGAGAATACTATTTCGTTATACTATACAATTTTCTCTGTTATTACTTTAGTTAAAGTATAACTAAGTCTGTTACACTAATGTCAAGAATATTTCAAATGCCACCAATTTTTACAATTTACGAAATTATAACCTATTTTTTATATTTATATCAGGAGGTTATGTTTGTAAACATAAGAGCAGTGACACAGATACAACGTGAACATGAACAAGACCAAACCACAGTATAGGAAAGAACAGTAGGATCAGTCTGCCAAAAAGCGTCTGTATGTATGTACAACATCAATCATAGTGTCACAGCCGACTCTAGTACTAGCCGTGCTGAAGTAAAAATGGCAACACCGCGAGAGTCCGGTCTGAATATATCAACACCTACCCTACTCTATCTGCCTCCCGGACTCCCAGACTCTCAGCCAATCAACGTCGTCAGACTCCCGACACTCTCTGGACTTCACATAACCTCTTTGGTTTCGATCCAATCATTTCGCTTGTTTCAAGGTTTTTATTAACTTATATACACATTTATCAATTCTTAAATGTTTCAATTTGATCCAAAGATGGTTTCATTTTGCTTCATACCTAAATTTTCTTGAAACCACTGTAAATATTTCAAATATCATGCTTCACAACACCAAACTACTGTGAGAGTACACAAAATATATATCACATTTATAACAATTTTATACTACCACATCACTTCTATTTGCCATAGTTGCAACGTTTATATATTGTTTATACATAATTAACACAAAATAGTGTATATTACTACAGCTTTTAATTAAAAAGGACGTTAATTACAATTCCGAGCACAGGACTCTGTTTTTGAAAATAGGACTCCCGATTGTCACGTGAGCGGTGTTGCCACGTTGTTCAGCATGGCTAGTACTAGAGTCGGCTGTGACACTATGATTGATGTTGTACATACAGTAATGCTTCGAAATAAGCAAGTGGTCTCTGCTTCGAAATAAGCAAGTCGCTATCCCCTCTTTTTTGTTTGAAGTCGCCCGCAAAGTGAGAGGTACGAGAAACGAGTGAGAGGTCCATGAAAGCGCGAAGCCGATGTTTAGGGTAATAAATTTCACGCTTGACTGAGCAGTGACATCGGTTAGTAGAAGAAGGATGGAATATATATAATGCTTTCTCAGTCTGGTATATTTGCTTCGAAATAAAGCATAGTGCGAGAATGAGAGGGCATGTTATATTCTATCCTTGTCCAAAAAATAACATCGCTGCTCGGCCGATCACTTTATGATTTGCCGCTACCTCGGATCTCTCACTCATTTCTCGCGTTCTCTATCGTCCCGTTTCGAGAACAAAGTCAAGCCGAATAGCTACCTGCTTCGAAATAAGCAACTGTTCGGTCCCGAGCCACTTGCTTATTTCGAAGCATTACTGTACATACTTTCAGTCCTGACGTATGATTGGTCGAAGCGGTCACAGTATTAATGTTATTTAAAGCAAATAGTATTAAAGACAGTACTTACTGGACAATAATAATTAACAATTATTTCATGACTTATAAATCATCTGAATAGAATTATATGTCATATTTCATAGAAATACAAAATCAGTCAAGGTAATGTAACGTATGTAACATAATTATACGCAAAAAATAATTGCGCAATAACTTTTCTTTGTTTATTTTTAATTTTTATGATTTAATTTATTAAAGACTATAAGTTCATAGAGGATTTCAGGTCACTATTTTATGACCTTATTTTTATATTAACAATTTCATGTGAGCACATATGTAAAAATTTATAATAAAATTAAATGCCACACAATCCATGATATTATATTTTTCTATTCACATTAGACATTAAAGTTTTACTAAAATATTTAAACCAAATGTTCATAATGGTTTAAATAAAAAAGATTTAAAATAAAGACTTCTTCCGTGCCAAAAAAATGTTAGAAACCCAATTATTTATAAAAGATTGATCAATATATTTTTGTTTATTACTGTTATCTATAATTTGAAGTATCATTTGCAATAAACAATTATATTAAAATATATATAAACAGATCTACTTTTTAAGTGTTAACAGTCACTTTACAGAACAGACTCTGTAACCACTTCACCGGCTTTTAGAACGAACTTTGTCTGTGTGTTCTGAAGTTTTCAAAAAGCCAACTGATACAAAGTATTCTTACTTGTCACTATCAATACATTAACGTTATTTGTATAGTACTGTAATTGTTATAAACATAATTTTGCAAAATGGTAAGTATTAAACTTTATTCTGATATATAATTGTTCATTATTGTGCTATTTATGAATATGGTTATTGAAGAGGTTACCTTTAAATTGCATTGTCATGCACGTAAAGGATTTCTTAAATAATATTAAGTTTGAGTTTACATTTAAATTAATTGATGTAATTTTAATATCCATTAATTGTAGAATTATTTTAGATATAACACAATCTGACTAAAGAATAAAAATTACCAAACATAAATGAAAAAGAAATCCTGTGTCATGAAAATACTATAACAAAATTTTTAAATGTAAAAAGCTTCAGTACTTAAATATGAAATACATTTAATTAATATTATTACTTACAGGCACGTAGATATGATACACGTACAACAATCTTTTCTCCAGAGGGTCGTCTTTACCAAGTAGAATATGCTATGGAAGCTATAAGCCATGCAGGTACCTGTGTTGGTATTTTAGCCACTGATGGTGTACTGCTGGTAGCTGAAAGACGCAATACAAATAAACTTTTAGATGAACTACACTATTCTGAAAAAATTTACAAACTTAATAACGATATTGTGTGTTGTGTGGCTGGTATCACTTCTGATGCTAATGTATTAACAAATGAATTACGTCTAATTGCACAACGTTATTTATTACAATATGGAGAACCAATTCCTTGCGAACAACTTGTTTCTTGGCTCTGTGATGTAAAACAAGCATATACACAGTATGGTGGAAAAAGACCTTTTGGTGTTTCAATTTTATACATGGGATGGGATAAACATTATGGATATCAATTGTATCAATCAGATCCAAGTGGAAATTATGGAGGATGGAAAGCAACTTGTATTGGACATAATTCCGCAGCTGCAGTGTCTTCATTAAAGCAAGAATATGATAATAATAACATAACACTAGCAGATGCTAAAGCATTAGCCATAAAGGTACTATCAAAGACCTTAGATTTGAATAAATTATCAGGAGATAAAGGTAAATATTTTTGATACAATGCTTTTGGAACATCAAATTCTATGGCTACATAATTTTTTAATTATCTATTTATTTATTTCAGTGGAAATAGTCACATTGACTAGAGAAAACGGCAAAACTGTGACTAGGATTCTTCCTGTAAATGAGGTTGATGCTTTAATTGCAGAACACGATCGTATAGAAGCACTTGCTGAACAAGCCAAGAAAGAGAAACAAAAATTGTAGAAGAAAAAATACACATGTATTTTATTTTTATCATTATATTATTGTTTATAAAAATATTGTCCTGAATATTAAGCTGGTTTTGTTTGCACAATCCATTGAGTGTTAAAAAAATAATAAGAGATAAATAGGAAAATGATAAATCCAATGTTCTATGTACTTCCATAAATGCATTCTCTTTAAAATTTGTATTTAATATATTAATCTAACATTCTTACTTAAATCATTGTCCCTATATTAAAATTTGAAAATATTGATTTATAAAGATATAGGAGCCATATATATAGGAATTAATAACAAAGAGTATATAAATATATATATAGGTATCTTAATTATTGTCTTACATGATTTTTACAAAAAAAATTTATAAAAAGAAAGTAAAAAGGAATGATTTATATTTAATAGAATTCATTAAATAAATTGATTTTCATTATTGTGTTAATGACAAATTTCTTTCAACACTTATGAAAATAACCTAACCTAAGTATAACAGCTAATATACAGAATCAAATGTAATGAAACTTTATCAAAAGCTAAAGCTTGAAAATTTTTGAAAGTTCAATAAAATACAATGATTTAATAATATTTTCCAATAAGAAAATGCAAAAATATACGGTATATTTAAGATATACATCGTGATACTGGAATGTGTTATATGACCACATAATTTTTATTATTAAAAATAAAGGAATGAATTTAAAAATAAATATATGGTACTAGATTGTTTATTGAATAATAAAAATTATGAAAAAAAGAAAAAAAAGTTATGAGTCGAGTCATATCGACCAGGCTGTCAATACGGTCCCACTCCCGGACGCGATCCCACTACTGCCCGCCACGGAGACTTTTGGCTGCTGGGTTTCCCCTCTGGCCCGGTTCGCCTCTCCTTAGCCAACCTGGCCATCCCGGATTCCTCCAGGATGTCCATATTGATGGCGAGCTTAGTGCGGACGCCCAGTCAACGTGAGTCCCGCACCAACAGGTACCCCCGACCTCAGACCCTCCGTCATAACCAGCCTCCGAGTAGCCGGATTACAGGAGCCGCCACACTCCCAGCTGACAACCTTTGCTACTAATCGTCTACTTTAGCTACCACATCGTGACTAAAGGTCGTAGATCTACCCTCTATCAGATGAACCCTAGGTCCTAACAATATAGATTTACCCCCTTAAACTTACAAATTTTACAATTTCTGGTACCTACGGCGGACTTTGAAAAATAGCCAAAGACTCAATGTATTAAACCTACGATATTTTTTTGTTAAAATAAGAACACTATATGTACAGAAAGGTTTGTAAATCAAAACAAATTTAAAATGATGAATTAAACTTCGCTTCAGGATATATTAGACATAAAAGTGAAATGTATATTAATGTAATTCCAATGTATAAATAATGAAACATTATGTTTAATTATTGAAATAAGTGAACATTTATGTTAAGAACTTGAATATTTATCCCTTGTGTGCGTACAACATACAATCTTTTGGAAAAGCTTATAGCAACGAACTATTCTAACAATGCGCAGGAAATATTATTTCGTATGTTTGATTTTCAAACAAGGTCCAGATTAAGTTAACAAAAAGAAATACTGATAACAGGAAACACACTGTAAAATGTATAATTATTTAATAAGTAGAAAATATTATAAAAAGTGTACGTTTTTACGTTTTCAAACTTTATATTGTTGCGCACTTTCAGAAAGGACACAAATGATGCCATCTTGCGATAGAGCAGTAGACTGGACCACAGACCACGTATACCACCGACGAGATACAGTATCTCGTCGGTGCGTATACAAAATGTATTATATATACTAGCTAATGTTTTTTTCGGCTGTACTTCTGAAAACCTCCATGCTCCAAATTGACTGAAATTTTGGGAATAGGTTTGTTTTTAATAAAAATGATGATACCAAGAAAGATTTTTGGCGACCCGAGAAAAAATTTTTTATCATTTGGGTATCCTTCCCTACTTTACCGACTCAATTATAACGGCAGGAATACTTGAGGCAGATTTGAAGGCGGTTCTGACGCTGTGAAATCTGCTATTTTCAATTGTTTTTTAAAAGATATCGATGTATCAAAAATACTAGTATTACAATGTATCATCAATTACTTGATGACATTAATTACGTATATTCTGCATATCAATAAAACTTTTATACAAACCTAATCCAAGCTTTAACTTCAGTGAATTGGGTTAGGTTAGGTCAGATGAGTATTCCGGCCACCGAAAGGCGGCCGGCTACGCATGCCAAAATCATTGATTTTTAAGTCCACCCGTTATTGGTTTTTAACTGTCGCGATAGCATTGTAGAAAGTGTAGATAACAGTAGGTGCAGATACTATGCCGATAAAATAGAGAGTGACATTTATGTGATAATAAATTTTTTTTCGAGTCGCCAAAAATCCTTTTCGCAATCATCATTTTTATCAAAAAAGAATCTATTTCCAAAATTTGAGTCAATTCGGAGCATGGAGGTTTTCGAAAGTTTAGCCCTTTTTTCTTAGAAACTAATTTGCAATTGTTAACATTTATAATTGGCAATAATGACAGAATAGTGTTGAATTAAATGTAATATACTATTAAACGTTAAATAAAATAATCATGGGTGTAGCAATCTCGTTGTGACTACCTTTCAGATTTGACTTAAGATTTTGTAGATAATTTTACAGACTATATTAAAATGAGCAGGACGGTTTGGAACATAATAATTCATGTGAAACTGGTTGGGATACGAAGAAAAGCTTGATGGTTGTGCGAAGTAAAACTGGATTTTCTTGTGCAACCGTCTTTAACGATTTAAGTAACAGACACAAGATAGTGGACGTACACATTAGCATTATTTATCGGTTAAAACTAAACTAAATAATTATGGGAATCAAAGTATCTTTGTTATTTTGAATGATAGGATGAAATATGTATAAGAAAAAATATATTGCTTTTCAACAATCAAATATTGTGATAATAAAAATTCTTTCCTCAAGATTATATGTATCTTATGAAATGTTAAGAATATCAACGTTGTTTTAAATAGACTGATAATCTTATTTTGTTTTATACATAGTAATATAATTTACTTAAAAATTTTAAATTAATATTAGTTATAATGTTTTCCTATAAAGAAAGTTTTGTATTTTGATTTTTTTATTAGTGGTATTATATTAAAAAAGGATATTGTATCATTTTTCCCTTTTTACTATCAATCTTGTAAATGAGTGGTATTTTTCAACCAAATATAAGTAAAGTTCTGACCTCTGCTGACTTACATACTAATACAAGATTTAGTTGTTAAATATATACATAAAATATAATATCCATACGGGCTAAATTATCCTAATTAAGGACTGAAACCTGCATCATATTGAAAACATCACTCATTTACAAGATCGATAATAGAAAAAAAAAAAGACAAAATAACCATATTTTATTTATCTGTTTTATAAAATAAACTGAGTTTCTTAAATTTCAAAGATATCTAGAACTTTCTTTCTACTGTGTACATAGTTCAATTCTCACGAATCTAGCACCCTTCCTGATGGAACCTTGAAAGAAACGACCGTTACCACCTTTCCCCATACAAGCAACCCTCCGAATAGCGAAGCATCCCCTTCGTCAGTCCGGAAACAGGTAAAAATCTCGTAACCTTCGACCCCGTGGGATCGTAGAAAGAGGATGCATTGTGTTCAGAAATTTTCTCACGAACCATCGTACCATTTGCACCGGTCCAAAGGAGTATTTAAGGGCTGCCACATTGTCCAACCATTGCAGAAGTGTTTCGCAAGTCGAAGAAGAGAGTACAAGGTGTCCTGGGGAGAGGACTTCGCCTTCCGGAGATGGTGAGTACCGTTTCTGGCAAATCTGATCTTGGTGTTTCGATAGATTACGCAAAATTTCATCATTTCGGCAGTCACCTTGTTTATATTATTTTGTTTTCTTTATTTATTGTTTCATTTTGTTTTATTTCATTTTACTTCGTGCCTTGATTGACTTTGTCACTGATAGTTAGCAATAACGGATTCCACTTTGAACCTATAATTTGAGAAATTAACAGGAATATAGAAATTGTTGTATTTAGAAGTTATCATAGAATTACTTTATTGTAGGAAACTGTTAAATATTTGAGAATACACTGAAGATTGTTTATTGGGTTGTTGGCTATTCCAAACTAATACTTATTCTGATCTTCTAAATGGTCAAACAGTCATAGCTGCTCTAATTTACAAAATATAAATAACTTTATTTACAGTATTCAACATAAAATTTAGAATTAATTTACAGAATTGCTTCTTAAAGATTTAAATTCGTATACATACGTTCCTTAGGGTGTGTGTCTCAAAATTACATTGCTCCATGAAACCGTGTTTGGTTGTATTAAGTGTGTAACAAAAAAGTAATTGAAGATTTATCTCTGAAAAATGATAGAAATTTTAATTACTAAAGTAAATATCATTGTTACCGACGGTCTTGCTTCACATTTCAAAAGAGTGGAAATATATTCAAATTTAAAATCCTAACTGATAAAAGGCACCAAAGATCACCCTTAATTTTACATTTCTGAAAAAATGACAAAATTCTACAAAAAATATTTACATAACAAATGAAAACGTTTTTGAGATATCTCGAAAAGTAAAATAGTAACAAAATTACTTTTTATAGTAATTCATTTTGTATATTAATAAATTATATTCGAGGCAAGGAAGATAAGAATAAAATATTCTGGGAAATATTTTATTTATTACCTTCTATGTTACAATTTTTCACGAAACGTTTCAAAGCGATAAAATATATCAATGTCAATACTCTTTATGTTTCTCTATAGTATACATCATTATTAATGACAATTAATTTTTTTGTAATTAAATGGATGCGATTGCTAATTTTGCCATAGAAACTTGTACCAGCTTGTTAAAAAGTACTTGATGCAACATCCATATTTCTATACATCTAAATCATTTATTTTTGTACACGTGTTACAAACGTATATTTTGATCATTATTTGAGTTTATTATTACTACACAAATGTTTCACTTGTCTCCACCATGAACCAATAATAGCTACACACCTGGCTAACTTCTTCATTTTATGAAACAGAACAAGAACAACAACAATAAAGTGATTTTCATTTGTGATACAACCATGGGCATCCGCAGGATTTTTTTTAGGGGGGGAGGAGGGGGGCATGATATAAAATATCACTTCTAGATTAACGAATGTATTCTATAGCCGTGTGAAAGAAAAGGAGAGTCAAGAACAATTCGAGATACAAGATAGTTTGAGCGAGAAAGAGACGGAGTTCCAAACAGAGGAGACAATAAATGCTCTATTCCACATCCGACTCTCTCTCTATCCAAGGGAGGGCAAGTGCCCCGATTGGCCCCCCTTGCGGACGCCCATGGATACAACTCTAAAAATAACTGCATTTATTATTTTTAACGTTTGTAACACTATGGAGCAATCATATACAGACGAGCAATACTAAAAATAGAGAAAAGGAAATAGAGTATAACTTGGAAAAACATGAAACATTCTCACTTCATCTCTTCTTCCTTAATATATACCTTGAAATTTTTCTTGAAAATTTAGCCATTAAATTTATAATTGTACATACAATAGATACACAGCTCTTTGGAATTTTGGCAAAGTGAAAGAATGCAGAAAACAGGAATTAAATATTTGTAATAAATTGGAAATCTACAAAATTCATAGAAGACTGTATACCTTCAAAATGATAGAGCAACTTATAGTTTTCTGGTCATGATGTACTTTTAACAAAAACTACAACCCAATAAATCTTCATATAACAAATGCACTGCAAAATATTTTAGGGATCCCTGAGAAATGAATCAGAATTTATGAAAAATTATTTTATTATATTTCATTTTTATTCTACTTAACACTCTGATGGAACCAAACTTACCATAGCAGATTAGATGAAACTGATGCACAAAGATTTAAAAATAAAAATAAAACATTTAGAAAATTGGAATAACTTAAATTGAACAATTTGCAATAAATGAATGTTTACAATTTTACTAAAACATTGCAGCAAATAATTTCATCTTAAACATAAATACTGACTATAAGAAACCAACCATTGCTGTACAATTATAATACTGGTATTAATTATTCAGACACTACTCATTAGATAATTAATATCTTCTCGATTTTGTTATGTGAAATTCCTTATTTTATTTAATTGAACATTCTATCAGCTTATCCTTATCATTTCTGTGAAATAAGTCGATCAACGGGAAACACTGATTTATCATTTTAATTTAAAAAGTCATTTATTTCGGCCATACTCTATCCAGGTACTAAGATCCAATCAAAAATACTTTTTCCAAATTCCTTGATCATCAGACGTCATTTTCAAGTATTCATCTTCAAAATCAAATCAAAATTTGTTAATTATAAATTCAAACACAATTATCGATAAATTATTCTTAGCAAAATTGGTTTCAATATTTTAAAAATATTTAACTTTTAAATAATTATACTTCTATTTGACAATAGAACAGAATAATAAGAAGAATTGTATCTTAAAATAGAAAATGTTTGGATCATCAAACCTTACAGTAATAAAAAGCAGCAGATTTGCAATAATGAAATTTATCACTGTATAGAAAATAAATATTGCTCTTAAGGTTCAATGCACTCGGTTCGAGTATTCAACTTACAGTGAAATGGATGTTTCCTGCGTTTTTATGTCATACAGATACGCTTGTTTGCAATTGGAACAAACTAAAAGAGACTACATAAAACGCTAACGATAATACACAATACATTCTATTCATTTAATAATGCCATGCTTTTATTTTAAAACAGCACACGATAAATAGCATTCTATCAACTATCTATTCAGTGTAATACGTTAGCACCAAAATAATTTTGATTCAAATCAATTACTGATTTCAAGTCTAAAGTTACCAATCATATAGAAGAAATATTGTTCCAAACATTTATTCAACCCTGTTTCTCTTCAAAATTAAAATATTTTGAATTCAAATGACAAAAATTTATTTAATAAATCAATCTGGATATTTTTAATAAACTATTGAACTTTGATATGTAGCATTAGTTAATGATTTTCTGAATTCTTCCAGCAGCAAGCAAGAATTATTTTTAAATTAAATTTCAATCTTAAATTGTACCTTCAATAAGCAATGACTGAGTGAGCCATTCAAAAATTAATTCACTGCAACTGTTTAAAACAGAATAATGAAATTCAAATGCAGTCTTGAATTATACAAAATCATACCAAAAGATTATCTGAAAATATGAACACAAGTTATATATACAATACAGAGAATAATGAAAGTTAAAAACTAATACTTGCAGATGATGAACTTCAAATATATTAGTATTCTATACTGAAAAATGTAATCAAGTTTCAGTAGAAATAACTAACTAGAGATGTGCAAATTTACTTAATCCAAGATAAACTTTCCATACACTTTCCTAGAACTGCCCAATACTTATAAATTATAGAAAAGGAAAGACATTGTTTTTGACAATTAAAATTAAACACATGATACATTCAATATATTCTATAAATTTTAGACAAAATTTGTAACACATAACTTACAGTTTAGCAATTTATTGTTAAAAGTTGCAGATGATAAAAATTCAAAAGAAGAATATATGTATGTAAAAAAAAAAACACAAACAAAAAAAAAGAAGATATATACATAGATATATATCCAATTATAATTACAGTCTTGTTTTCCTATAAAGCAGGAGACGTTACGTTTCAATAATAAAATTTATAATCAAATAACATTTATAAAATTGAAATATATCTAAAGTACGCAAAAAAATATCCAATTTATATGTTCACAAAACGAAATGATACGAAAAATATATATCATTCTGTATTATTTAAATATGAAGAATATAATCAAAATTTCATACCAATTGGGTTTTCCACATTTTTGATCAATTTTTCAAAATATTTCCGGTATCCTAAAACACGCCAGAAATCAATTATTATAAAAAGGAAAGAGAAGAAATAACTATAGAAACTGGACAAAAGCAAATTCTGCACTGTATCACTCTCAGATTACTTCCATTATCATTCTTTTATGTTTTTTCTTTCACAATTAAAATTGAACATAATTTCTTTTTCTAAATTTGCTACATTATACTTTATTAATTATTTTCGGCATTCCGTTTTGCTAACACTCACACCATTATAGGTATCAAGAACTAATTGATGATGGGAACATGACAAACCATGGAAAAGAAATTCAAGTTTTACCATAAAGAAGATTACCATAATTCAAGAGTTTTGGAGTTCACCAAAATTTGTGATAATGAATAACTTGAAGAAACTGAAGATGGGAACAAGAAGAATCATGAAAAAGAAATTCAAGTTTTACTATAAAGAAGAAAAACCATAATTCAAGTATTCCTTCAAAAAGGAATTCAAATTTTATTATGAAGAAAACACCATAACTGAATTATTCAAAAGACCACCAGAATGCACAGGAATAAATAAGTTAAAGAAGCAAATGAAATCATGTAAGGATGAAGAGGATAAAAGGAAGAATGATCTGAAGAAATGATAAACAATTCTATGGAAATGAATAGCTAATTTTGAAGAAGAAGAGGGATAAATGACTGCCAAGAAGAAAAATAGATGCACCAGAAAAATTCTATGGACTTCAAAGTATTAGCTTTCTGGTTTTCACTCAAAACAACCCAAAATAAAGAATTAAAATTTCAAGGTGTAGAAGATAAGCATTATCAAGAAGAAAATTAATAATAACAAACAGTTGAAGAATTAATAGATATTTCCTATGCTGAACCTTGAATTCAACAAATAAAAAATTAGTGATACTGCATAAAAAATGATAAAACTTTACCACACAAAATTGTTATAATTTACAAAAACTCTACTTTCAGAAAGAAGATCGAATTTTTAAACATCTGTTCAAAATACAATAAGGCAACTCATTTCTACAAAAATATATGAACAATAATTAATATAAAAGTTTTCGAATAAAATTTTGGCTGAACCAAAATTTGAATGAAGAAAACTTTAGCGCTGATTTTTGAAGACTTCTGGTAAACGCTACTTTTTATCTGAGATTTCGTTACCAATAATGTAAAATGTAAATCATAAACAATAAAACTACGAAACCTGTCGAAACGGTACAAAAAGCATCGATGTGTGAATAATTAACTACTTTGCAAATTGAGTTTTGCTGGATCCACATTCAGTTGGATAAGGATTGTTGAAAACTAATTACTCCCGAAGAATAGAAGTGAAACAAGAAAAAAAAATTAATAACTCTGAATTGGATAAATATTTCCAAATTACATATTGTTATTTTCAGATCACATAAATTAAAAACAAATCATTTGTTTATGAAATAACTCCTATCGAAAACTAAAAGCAAAACAAAATTAATGATTTTCAATTGGATAAATGTTTTGTTATTTTTAAATCACATAAATTAAAAAAAAAAAGGACTGTTTATAAAATATTGTTTCAATTTAAATAATTGTTCTCGTTTTTTTAAGCTGTTAAGTTGATTCATTACGTTTGCCCCTCGTTAGTTGATCACCTGTTGATTTTCAAACAACGTTACAACTATCTGTGTTCCTTGTTACAGATTTAATTATGTTTCCTATTAAGTTTATCGTTCTCTCTTGTTCTCGTTAATGTTAACCCGTCTCTATGTTAAGTTAATGTTACTCTGAAAAAAAAGAAGCAGAAGATAAAAGTTAAAGTTGAACTTCGGTTACGTTTTTGTTGTACGTCTGGAAATGAACAAAGTATTTTTACGTTAAAAATGTATTTAATATATTTACGCATAAAGTATTTTAAATAATAAATTATGCGCTAAAATCAGTGTTATACTTTTCACGTAAAACATACAAGTGTACTTAAGCTTCATACGGGCATTTTTTGTTTAATTTATATAATTAGTTGAGAAAACTGTTTTCTATTTATTCATTGTTCCACAGAAAACAAAATTGTTGAGTTTTGTTACAAATTAAATTATTGATTTTACAGAAAAAGCAAAAAGAGAATAAAAAATAGAAGAATGATTAAAAGGAGGAGAGAAATTGAAAATCTATTTTATGTTGACATAATTCTTGATGGTTTTCACCACAGTGCCTTCAATTAATTACCTAATTTCGCAACCAGAGTTGTCCAATAAGGAGGTTCAACGAATTTCTTATTGAGAGGTTTTACAAAATTTATTAGCATCATGATTAGTTTTCTTCACTTTCTTTTTATTTTCAATAACACTTTTGAAAATTTTCCAATATTTATGTAAAGAGAAAAATAAGAAGTTAACTGACCTTCAGAAGAGGTACCTTCTGGTACCACTAGTTACGCTACTGTTCAATTTAATTATTCTGTGAATGAATGAATTAATAACACGACCGTGTATCACAATACAATATATGAACGAATTGATAATTAATTTAATTCATTCATTTATTTAGTTACAGGTGGTCGAATTAATTAGATAAAAATCGGATTAATTTCAAATTGTTATGTCGAAGAAATGAATGAACGATCAAGAGTAATAACTGATTTATTTGTTCGATCATTCAATGCCTTTCGTCGTTCATTTCAATATGCATCATTGTTAACGAATGTATTCAATAAACTGATATGTTAAAAAAAAAGAAGAAAAAAGAAAGAAAAAAGACTCATTGTATTGTATCGCTCAATGTAATTATTAATTAATTGATTCGTGTGTTGATTGTATCTGTGTACATTTATGTAGCCCCTGTGTGTATGAGTGAATATCTTAATTGTCCTTCAATTTCATTTTATTTCTATCTTTCTTCATGTAAATGGTGTGAACATTAATGACTAACGAGAGAAGAGCTGACAATTATATTTTCAATTGAATTATATTTCGTATGTAAATTGTGAAATAAAACAATTATTTATGTAATAATTTTGGGCCTTCATTGAATTATCCTAAATACCATCATTTTCTAACATTCCAGATATATTACCTACATTTCTCTTCTTCTTTTTTATTACAGTATCTTTCTCTCCATGTAAAATTATGAATTTACCTTGTTACGTCCGGATTATTTTCAATAATCCGACCGTGGCTAACATTTATTTTCATTTTCTTTCTGATAGTGTTGAATAGTTTAACCGTTTAATATACTGAATCTGTGTACCTCGTCGGTGGGCAGCACTTGGAGATAATCCCAGGCGAGGCACACAAAGGAGGCTATAATTAGTTCTTTTCAAATAATAAGAAGTTAACCTTCCTTGGGACGATTGCCTCGTCGAAACCGCGTAGCAATAAACACATAGAAATTCGAAATCGCTAAGGTTAAGGAGAGGTACTATCAACATCTTTCGCCGCGCGGTTAAGCAGTGCGATGAACTTGGAAGTTTCCCAGCTTAACCGCGCAGAATAAGGGAAATACGATTTTTGTTTTACCTCGCAAACGAAATACCTCTCCTACCTCCAAAGCATGCATCAGCCGGTCCTTCCACCAAAGAATGAATGCGATTAAGAACGAAACTGATTGGAATTGAACGGAATGAAACTGTTTGAATGATTACAGAATGCGAAGGTTTGCGTGGCAACCGCTCTAGTTTGAAATTGTCGACCGACGCACAGTGGGAGAAAACGGCTTTCAGCGATCAAAAGTCGATTTTCGTGTATTCGAAAATTGAAAAACTATTTACATACATCGATAGAGAATAAATTGTAGTTTAACGTGCTGTCGTATTCTGATTTGCCAAATGATGTCCCTACTTGGGGGTACCGATCGCGGGTCGAACCCTGAGACACGATCGCTTGACTGAGGCAAATCACTCTTCGTCGAAACATCGTGAGGTACGTGAGGGGGAGCCCGTGTTCGCGTCGAGCAATAGTTTTCGCGTGAAAATCGTAGTGATTAGCAGACCGGTAAAGTCCTTGTAAAAGGCAGAGTGCCGGGTTCTCGAGGAAACGATTCTCGTTTTCCGCGTAAAAGACTCTTACGAATGCGTTAAATTCTCTTCACACTTTTCAATATTCTATCTTTCTCTTTCGTTTTAAATCGTTCGTTAATTAATTATTTCTTTTTCGCGCCGCGTCGTTTAATCGTATTGTTTCGTAAATAATCGTTTCCGTAACCGTAACACCGTACAAAGGCCGATCGCGAACGCGTAGTGCAAGTAACAAGGTTTCTCATCTTTTCTTCGTCTTCCAGATTTCCAGACTACACATAGTTATCAACGAAATATTATCTTGAGTTATTATCTTGTATTGTTTAACATCGAGCTCGGTAAGTGGTCTATCTCATTCTATTCAGTACGACAAATCTGGTTGATAGTGAGGCAAAACGGGCGATCTACGGGACTGCGTGTCCTGGAAATTTCTTACTGGATCGTCCCGTAAAACACCGTGTTTTAAGGCATCGAATATATTTATCATTTCTTGTAAAAATTCCGTTTATACTAAAGAGAGACGGCCCACGAGACCGTGGTCTTGGTAGTTTTCCCCCTGGGACCATTTTCTTTTATTATACAATAATTGTTGCCGAAATCGTCGCTTGAATCATCTCGAATCATACCGTTAATACTGAATCAGATTTAATTAACCTAAAATCAATAGTTCACTGTTAACGCCCGGTACAAATTCTGTGTTATATTCTCAACTCAACAGATTTCATTATTATAATTCTATACTTTTCTTGCTAATATATAGGGTGTTCGACAACAGGTGGGCAATGTTTTAAGAGGTGATTCTAGGGATCAAAATAAGACGAAAATCAAGAATAACGAAATAGCGTTTACGGCTTTGTTTTCCAGTTATTAACGTTTAAAAATTCGAGTAAAAAAGCGCCAGAAACCTGCAATCCGCTCAGCACCGACGACCGAACGTCACGTCGGCAGGGGTTGGTACAATCATAACCAAGAATCGAAACCGAATACATACTGCAGTACCGAGAAACAGAATAGCACGAGGTAGGTTTCTACTATTCAACGATTCTTGGTTATGACTGTACCGAACCCTGCTGACATGACGTTCGGTCGTCGGTGCTGTGCGGATTGCAAGTTTCTGGCGCCTTTTACTCGAATATTTAAACGTTAATAACTGGAAAACAAAGCCGTAAACGCTATTTCGTTATTCTTGATTTTCGTCTTATTTTGATCCCTAGAATCACCCCTTAAAATATTGCCGACCTGTCGTCGAACACCCTGTATATATTTCATTTATTTTGTATTTCAAACAGCTCGTACTTTCTGTTAATTAAACCATTTTCACTGTTATACTTATTTTCTTGAAATTATACTTTTTGTTACACATAATCGGTTTCTAATTCATTTGCGTTTCAAACACACTTCCTTCCTTCACATTCACGCCTACCATCTTGCACGAACTCACACGAGGGGTCCGTATGGGACCAGAGCATTGACGAACTCAATCAATCTAGAATCTTACTTTAATTTATCGATTCTTTTTAAATTGTTCTAATCGTGGATGACCTAACATCGTCAAATACGATTAGGACTGGTGGCAGCGCTAATACCGTTCTCAACCGCGTATTAACTCTCAAAAATTAATAGAATCAATAAGTGAAATAATTAATTTTAAATAACAATTTTGGGCCTTCATTGAATTGTCCTAAATACATACCATCATCTTCTAACATTCCAGTTATATTACCTACGTTCCTCTTCTTTTTTTTTTCATTACAGTATCTTCCTCTCCATGTAATATTATGAATTTACCTAAACAGTATTCTCCAATTGATTAAGTCTCCTACTTGAATCTACCTTTTTCTTACAGCATACATTTCCATTGTCCTTGAACTCTCTAGCATTTTAAATTTCGTGTCTACCTAGATCCTGAGAGTTTAAAATTCAAATACGTTTCTAGAAAATATTCCTTGCATTAAATAGAAAAACACTTTGTCTACGAAGCAACCTGAAAGAGAGAGAGGGAGAATAAAAAGGATCAGTCGTTAACGAAACGTTCCTAATCTGTAGATACCCGAAAGAAAAAGAAGAATGACGGGAAAGTAAATACGGAAAAGTGTAGGGCTAAAGATAGAAACAGCCGGAAAGCAATCGTCAGCATCGATAAGACGAAGGCCCGGTAAGAAAAGGCAAGGGGGGTAAACAGAAGCAGAACGATTCGCGATAGATGTAAAAGATATGCAACAAGGACTTGGAAATCGGTCGTAGCTGTACATAATTCTAAGCGGAGAAATGTGGTAACCGATGCGACCGTACGATCGACATTCGTTGGAAAGGCCAGGTAGACGATTTCATGCTGACAAATATCCCCGAACATTTGAATCACCTTCATGCCTTATGTATTACATTTCATAATATACTTCCTTCGAAAAGTACGTTAATGTTAGGTGTACAAATGAATTCACTACCTTTAGCATTACTCTTTCCTGTTCTCTTACTGTTTTAAATTTCAACATTTTCTCGTACTTTTGTATATTTCAAATTTGACGAGAGAATATGATAATAATAGCTGCAGTTATTAAAAATAAACGTATAATTGAAAAAAGATAAGACAACTAATTATAATAACATTCTAGACTTAAATACAATATTTGACAACTTCATAATGCTATCAATAATAATACTTCGACATTTAACCAAGGTGAAAAAAAAAAATTAAAGTTAATAAAAATTTGCTACTAGCTTCTCTTTTCCATTTAAAACTATTTTTTTTATTTTGTATACTTTAGAATTAATAAGAATTATACTCATCGTCAGTATAATTTACAAAGAACATGTATGATATGAAGTATTTTATTCAAAAAGAAAAAATATGATGAAGGAATGTCTATTATAAGTGCTGATAGCAAGCATGTTGATTTCGTTGGAAGATGTTGATTTTTAACCGACTTCGAAAAAGGAGGAGGTTACTCAATTCGAAAAGTCGGTGCCGGGCAGATTCTTGATTTTCGTCTTATTTTGATCCCTAGAATCCCACCTGTTGCCGAACACCCTGTATATTTTTTTCTTCTTTAATGTATGCTCGCTGATTACTCCGAGACGGATGGACCAATCAGAACGAAAACTTTTGCATCTTGTGGAGTATTTCTCCCAATTGATCCCTAAAAAAAAATGTTTTGCATTTTTTCATTTCTGACGAATTTTATCGCCAAAAACATAATGCTTCATTTATATTCTTCGGCGTTTACGCTGCAAGGAATGTACCGATCACGACGAAAGCTTTCACATCTAATAGGAGATATTTCCGCGATGATCTTATTTGCAAAAATTTATGGAACTTGTTATCGTTAATAACTATCGTTATTGCAATTAACCGATGTTAGACAAACGGTCTTCTTCGAACGGCAATTAAATTTCTCGCGACAATCCATCCGTAATGAGTTATCAAAACGTGAGGTGCCCTAAACGGTTTAGATTTCTAAAGCCGAGTATCCACCTATATCAAACGCCCGTATCGCATCACCGTTCCGAACCCTTTTGAATAGGCAGGCGTTGCCTCGTTGCATGCAACGGCGTGCTGTGGCTCGGACAACATTTCTTCGTTTCTTGATAGAAACGGTTAGGCAATAGGACTGGGCCATTACACGCGAGGAGTTTCGTTTTGCCGTGTGCCGTTCCAAAGGAACGGAGGCAACGGACCCATCCGAAAAATTTCTTGGTTCTTTGCCGTTCCATCGAAGGAAAGGTTCATGCGTTTGCACTTGACATAGCGTTTCGTGCCGTCACTTGGGTTTCAATTTATTTGAAATCTTGCGGTATTATTGGATTCATTTCAAAATCGATGAAATTATTTATGAACTTAATCTAATTTAATTTAGACAAATTTTATCGTTTAAATATATTGAAACAGATCAATTATCTTCGGCGATACGCTGTACATAAAACAGCAATGTTAATAATCACCTGTGTCATTATTGAAAAAGGACAATGTTAATTTTGCAGAGATTTTTCCGTTGCCGAGTATCGAAAGTTCTATTGGGCTGTGATACGGAGGTGAAGGAACGGGCCGATCCGAAAATTGTCGGTTTCTTGCTGTTCAAAGGATAGGTTCGGAGACCACTTGAAACGTAAAAACAACATATCCAGGCGAAGGCCCGAAATGCTATGTCAAGTGGAAACATGACACTTGAGGCTCGAGATAATATGATCTAGAATCGGATATAATACTAATGCGATAATACTAATGAGATAATACTAATGCAATGACTGAACTTTGTTATTTTTCATTTTTTTCTTATAAAACTTTTACCAAGATATTTGTGACATTTTTCTGATTAAAATGATACCAAACACGATATGGTTAGGACAATTACAATTAGGACTATAGGAGTTTCTTTCAAGAAACGAAGAAATGTTGTCCGAGCCACAGCACGCCGTTGCATGCAACGGGCCAACGCCTGCCTATTCAAAAGGGTTCGGAACGGTGATACGATACGGGCGTTTGATACAGGTGGATACTCGGCTTTACACTCCAAGACCTATTGAATAGTTTAGATTTCGGCTGTGTTTCCGAATGGCCCCACCAAAATCGAGAACTCAGGTTCGGTATATAAGCTAAATTGACTACAAGAAACTGATTAAAGTTGGTTTTAGAACTGGATGTCTTACCGTTTTCGAGATATCGAGATATAAATTTTTCTTCTACTAGGAAGATTCTAGTTCAGGCGTCGGCAACCTATCAAATCATTATTGGCAGCATTGTATATTCGGGTACTTTTAATTTTGCGCCGCCTCCGAAAAGATTGAAATGTATTTAGTATACTATTTAACGAGTAAATAGATTTTATTAATAGCTGTTGGGTATTTGTATAAATGAAGTAGAAATTATTTCATACTTTTTAGTGCATTTCGAAGTCGGTTGTGTTTTTTGTTAAAAATTATTTTACACTTTTTAGTGGATTTCGAAGTCGGTTGTATTTTTTGTTAAAAATTATGGGTGAAGTTCCGCAAAGCGCAACCGTCCGAGTGCGGTGAAATTTTATCCAAAGCTTACTCTTGATTAGAGAAGAAAGTCCGTAAAATGATTTTTGGCGACAAAACCTCGTTTGCCCCCCAGCCCCCTTCAAAGTTTTGACAGTTCTTACTAAATATCTCCGAAAATATTGATTTTAGGGAAAAAAGTTTCAAACAAAAAAATGAAGCTTTTAAAAAGCTCTACAAAAAAGGTTATAAACATTTTTTACGTAAACCTATCATTTTGGCTGTTATGAACAATAATAGTATTTTTTCCTCAGATGTACATATACGTATAATTATTAATGATGTATTTGATGTATATGAAAGCCGTAAGGCGGCCGGATTGAAATATATAGCCTATCCTAACTTATAATAATAACTATACGTAGGTACATATACATATGAGGAAAAAATACTATTATTGTTCATAACAGCCAAAATGATAGGTTTACGTAAAAAATGTGTATAACCTGTTTTGGAGAGCTTTCTATAAGCTCCATTTTTTGTTTAAAACTTTTTTCTCTAAAATCAATATTTTCGGAGATATTTAGTAAGAACTGTCAAAACTTTGAAGGGGGCTGACAATGAGAGGTAAACGAGGCTTTGTCGCCAAAAATCATTTTAGGGACTTTCTTCTCTAATCAAGAATAAGGTTTGGATCAAATTTCAGAAATATCGGAGGGTTGTCGCTTTCGGAATTTTATCCGAAATTATTTTATCAGTAACCGAGGAAGGTGATCCGCCTGTGGAAGGGTATAAAAGGCTCTGTCTAAGATACGAAGTGGCTCAGTTGTTCGAAGAACGATCGAGGGTTCGGAATCAGTCTGGAAAGACCTTCTATCTCTATCTGCTGCTCTTCTTCTTCGCTTCTGTCGTGTGTTCTATTTGAAGATCACCGGTGATCATCGAGGCCGAACGTAAAAACGTAGAACAAGCGAGAAAAACAATGATTAGGAATTAAAGATAATAAAAGATAAATGAATTACCACGGTCGGTGAGAACTGAAGGAGGTGAAAAATGGAAGAAAGGGGTAAACTGGATACATGAAGGCTAAAGTTATCGAACGTGAACCGAGGATAGAAGTTTGAGAGACAAGTTCACGCAACAGGTGGAAAGAAAAATATATTAAAAGGAAAGAGGGGAGGCAAGAGAAGAAGGGCAAGGAGAAGGAGGGGAAACGGTAGAAAAGGAAGGAAGGAAGGAAGGAAGGAAGGCAAGAGCAAAAGGAGAAAGGGAGAAAGGAAGGAAAGGAAGAAAAGGAAAGGAAGAAAAAGAGATACGAGTGGAAGGATAAGGAAAGAAGAGAGAGACAGTTAGAGGTAAGGAATAAGAGAAGTGGTTTCGAAGGTGCTTCGTAGGGAGACGAGTTTTTAGAGTGCACTCGCTTTTCTTCGTTCAGGGGCAGAGGGTGAAGAAGACAGCGATGGCCGGATGGTGGAACCTCGGTGGTGTTTTTCTTCTGCTTTTTGCTATACTCCTTGCTCCCTATTTGTACAAGATCAACTGGATCAAGGTGAGTCCTCTTACCCGCTTTACCTACTTACACTATCATTCAAAAATATTTAGACATCGTTCGCTAACATAATATCACAATATTATGTGATTCATAATACCCACATGTCTCTATACTTCAATGAATATTTCAAATATTCGTCGGATGTTAATTTCTTCCTCTTTATTATTTAATTATTACATACGACTAGCATCATCAAAACTGTTGAATATATTGTACATTTTATTTTCTTCTTCATTCTCTATACGATAAATTTAATATTCCATTAAATATATAATTTGAAAGTTTTCCAATAATTCCAATAGCTTCAAGATAAAATCATGTCAGAATAATCGTGTTATATTTCCATAAGATTAGTATTTCATTTCGAATGGATAGAAACTGAGTCTGCTTCATTAACTGCCGTTTCCATTAACTGGTCAAGTTAAACAGAGTTGCTTCTAATAAAAATGACGAATAATTCCTCTCCGGTCTGTCAATCTTTGAAGTTTTTAACTTTGTCATTTTATAAAGTTTGATGGAAGCAATATTGTCAAATCATGATAACATGTTTACAAATGATGAAGTTTTCTTTCTGCGCATGACGCCGTAAAACTAGAGAAATCCTTTTTCATCGCATCAGCAATGATCAACATCCAGAGCTGAAGGAATCTGATACATTTCATCGTGGCATTAAATATTATTTGCAAGCGACAAAATATATTTTCCAGAATTTATTAACACTGAAACTGTAAAATTTGTATACCTAAAGGGGTTGATGTTATGTTATCGCGTTAACACCTTTTTGCTTAAAATTATTTATAGAATAACGTAGTTAAGCCGATAAAGAGATTGAATTCATCAAAAAGAATTTTGATTTATCATTTTCATTTATCTTTCAGGATTTAAGGATCGAAGGTAACGGGAAAAAAGTTCTCGCTAATCACTTAGAATCCAAAAAACGTAAATTGGGAAAACTTCCTCCCGTTTATCCAAATGGATGGTTCGCCCTCTTGGAGAGTTCTCAGCTTCGAAAGGGTCAAGTGAAACATGTGGCAGCCCTAGGAGAAAATTTTGCTGTATTTAGGTATTTCATCTACAACATTGATTGAATTACAGTGGTACTTCGGTATACGTCTGCTTTGGAATACGTCCTGTTTGGACGTGAAAAATTTTGCTCGGTATACGACTTCCGTTCGGTATATAACTTCCGTTTTAAATAATTATCTCAGAGGAAAAATTAAATTAATAAATCAATTATATTCGGAGTTGATGTATTATTAACTGACTGATCATACAAGTAAGGATATGATATAACAAACTATAACCGCAAAACAGGAGGCAATAAAATTTATCCCATTTGGTTTGTTAATTTAGAATCTATCATTAGGTTACATTTATATTTTACAAATTAATTATGTTAAATAAACTAGTGAATATTTTTTATAAACAGGTGGAGTTCCGAAAAGCGCAACATTCCGATTGCGGTGATATTTTAACCAAAGCTTATTCTTGATTAGAGAAGAAAGTCCCTAAAAGGATTTTTGGCAACAAAGCCTCGTTTACCCCCCAGCCCCCTTCAAAGTTTTGACAGTTCTTGCTAAATATTTCCGAAAATATTGATTTTAGAGAAAAAAGTTTTAAACAAAAATATGAAGCTTTTAAAAAGCTCTACAAAAAAGGTTATAAACATTTTTTACGTAAACCTATCATTTCGGCTGTTATGAACAATAATAGTATTTTTTCCTCAAATGTATATATACGTATAATTATTATTGATGTATTCAAGTTAGGTCTGGCCATCCAATTAAATGCGGCCGCCGTAAGGCGGCCGGTAACGCTTTCGTTTACACATATTTGTATAATTAATTTATTATTATTTCATGAAAGCGTTGCCGGAAATTGTGAATTATGTGTTTGGAACAGGTCGCCAATTGTACCGCGCTGTGTCGGTAAGGTAGGGAATGATATCAACGATAGTGTAGAAATTACTATTTGTTTACATAACAGCCAACATAATAGGTTTATGTGAAAACTGCTTCGAATCTTTTTTGTAGAGCTTTTTAAGAACTTCTTTTTTTGTTTGAAACTTTTTCTCTAAAATCAATATTTTCGGAGATATTTAGTAAGAACTGTCAAAACTTTGAAGGGGGCTGGGGGGCAAACGAGGCTTTGTCGCCAAAAATCCTTTTAGGGACTTTCTTCTCTAATCAAGGATAAGCTTGGGCAAAAATTTCAGAAAAATCGGAGGGTTGTCGCTTTCGGAACATTATCTTTATAAACTTCCAGGAAATCGTTTAAATGCTGTTCATGACATAAACAGTATTTAAATTATCTTACAACCCCATTAATGAAGGTATAATATCAATAGGATTTTTTTTACATGAGAACGGATTAATCATTTTTACATTACTTCTTATGGGAAAGGTTGGTTTGGTATACATCCTATTCGGTATAAGTTCAATCATCAGGAACGGATTAAGGTCGTATACCGAGGTACCACTGTACATAAAAAAAAAGAATTTTCACGATTCGTGTTAATAATAAAATTATTATCTCTACCGTGGCAGTCGACGTTCTAAAACTATTTCTACCTGCTAATAACAATATCAATTCATTTAAAGAACAGATAAAGGGACGGTAAGAATTTTAGACGCTTACTGTCCTCATCTGGGTGCAAATATGGCAGAGGGTGGTCGTGTGACGGGTGATTGCTTGGAATGTCCATTTCATGGCTGGCAATTTCGTGGATCCGATGGACAGTGTGATCACATTCCATACACTGATAAAAGTAATTATTAGATTAATCTTTTTAGTACAGGTAGCTCTCGATTAGTGCGAGTAATAAATCCCAGAAATTGTTCGCATTATTTGAATTTGTACTATTCGAATACTTGAAATATAGGAATTGGTTCTTAGTTAAAGAAAATATACGATCAAAATTTTGAAATATACCTTTTATACGTATATTATTAAATTATAATAGCATAAACATGTTTATTATTTTTTTAAGTATTTTAACAGTGTTGATCGCACTTTCTTCTGCTTTTTCATATCTTCGTATATGTGATGATAAACTCGCAGTATTTTATCCAAGTCTCTGTTAACTAGCATGCTTCGATCTGTGTCTGGATCGAAAGAAGCCTCGCATTAACTGAATTTTTGTTCGCAATAAATGTGACCTGATATCATTTTAAAATTTGCACTAAATCGAATATCGCACTATGTGAACTAGCATTAATCGAGACTTACCTGTATTCTCCTGAAATCACAAGACAAATTTTAATTGCAACTCTCTTCAATTTTAGTACCGCACATCGCCAGAACAAAAACTTGGAAGAGTTGCGAAGCCAATGAGATCATCTTTGTTTGGTACCATGCGGAAGGATTGGAGCCCAGCTGGCAACCGCAAACTCTCGATCAAGTTTTGAACCGAACATGGCGTTACCAGGGTCGAAATGAGTTTCTCATCAACTGCCATATACAGGTCAGTAAACGTTACTCTTCGACGTGCGATAAGTGAAACTGTTGTGCTAAAAAGCATTTTATATAAAGATGATGATTAATTAAATTTATCATGGAAAATAAAATCAAGGAAAGTAATTTACTATAAAAAATAAAAGTTAGATCAACGACGATCTTCTTCTTCCTTTTCGTTTTTTTTTAGATATGTGTTAAATAAAGCAGTTGGATAGTTGAAAATAAGAAATGGATTTGAACTCCTTGATTGCAACTTCCATGATGAATCCTAAGAACGATTATTCTTTTGGATTTGACCAGGTAAAGAATTCGTAAAAGTTATCATTAAAATAAAAAGAAATAAAATAATATAGAAGAGATTAGAAATAAATATTTAAAAATACTTAAAAGTAACATAAAGTTATATTCTAAAATTTATTTAATATTAAATTAATTATAGATAATTATAAATAATTATAAATAATAATTAATTATAAATTAATTTAATATTTAACGAAGGAAAAGGGAAATTCAGAATGTGTTTGTTCCAGGAAATTGCAGAAAATGGAGCTGATACGGCACATCTCAGTGTTGTACATGGTCCATCAGTGTTTTCCAAGATTGCTCATATTTTTTCTTCATTCGCTCGCCATTCGTGGTCAAACATTAATTGGACACCCCACAGTTCTTATTCAGAATCAAAAAAGTCAGATGCTACTGATTCAGTGAAAGAAAATAGTACCGAAGATTTGAGTCATAGAGCTTATATGTCCTTGAGACATCGTTTGGTTTTATTCGAGAGATTCGAATTTCTGCAAGTGGACGTAAGCGTTCAACAAATCGGCCCTGGATACGTAGAATTAATGATGGAATCTTATTTAGGAACCGTGTGCATTTTTCAGACAGTCACGCCGATGGAACCTCTTCTACAAAAGGTTTTAATTTAATTAATTTACTTGTTTTACTTTACTTCATAGAATCGTGAGATTAATCAATTCAAATTATCCCGCGCAAACGTTTACGCGCGAGTGAAAGGGCCATAGGCATAGTCACAGCCGACTCTAGTACTAGCCATGCTGAACAACGTGGCAACACCGCTCACGTGACAATCGGGAGTCCTATTTTCAAAAACAGAGTCCTGTGCTCGGAATTGTAATTAACGTCTTTTTTAATTAAAAGCTGTAGTAATATACACTATTTTGTGTTAATTATGTATAAACAATATATAAACGTTGCAACTATGGCAAATAGAAGTGATGTGGTAGTATAAAATTGTTATAAATGTGATATATATTTTGTGTACTCTCAAAGTAGTTTGGTGTTGTGAAGCATGATATTTGAAATATTTACAGTGGTTTCAAGAAAATTTAGGTATGAAGCAAAATGAAACCATCTTTGGATCAAATTGAAACATTTAAGAATTGATAAACGTGTATATAAGTTAATAAAAACCTTGAAACAAGCGAAATTATTGGAATGAAACCAAAGAGGTTATGTGAAGTCCAGAGAGTAATCGGGAGTCTGACGACGTTGATTGGCTGAGAGTCTAGGAGTCCGGGAGGCAGATAGAGTAGGGTAGGTGTTGATATATTCAGACCGGACTCCCGCGGTGTTGCCATTTTTACTTCAGCACGGCTAGTACTAGAGTCGGCTAATGGGAGGAGACTTGGGGGTCCTTAAACGCATCTCCAGGTTCCTAGACAAGATGGGGAAAGTTATTTAAAGGAAGTTTATGAAATAAAGTGAAGCAACGCATAGGAGGGACAGTAACGTCATGGTTTGTGTGTGTGTAATTATACAAAGATATGAGAGGAGGAAATGTGCTGCGAGTAAGCAAATGCGTATGGCATGAGTTTGTAATTTCTAATATAGTTTATATAAGTTATATTTAGCGCCTTAATGTAGCCAGGCAATATAGGGGGCGCTCGCCCCCTGAAGCGCCATCTTGGGCAGAGCCCAAGAAAACTAAAATACATACATACTAGAGTCGGCTGTGACATAGTAAGTATAGACCGAGCATCCATTGTATAAGCGGTGATGCATGAGATAAGAGAGAGAAAAGTAATAAGAGGAGTTGCTCTCTCTTTTCAATGCCGGAGAAGTGGGGAGAGCCTGCGCAAGAGCCTGCGCGATATGATTTAAATGCTTAGACGACGCGACGCATGTAGTATAATAGGGGAAAAGACGAATCGGCGCGAGGAGATGAGGAGAAGTGCTCCCCACTTCTCCGGCATTGAAAAGAGAGAGCAACTCCTCTTATTACTTTTCTCCCTCTCATCGTATGTATCACCGCTTATACAATATGAATGCTCGGTCTATACATACTTACTATGTCTATGGAACTTACTATAGACACTATATTTAGGGAATGAAATAGTTAAGTTATCTAGTAATATTTATCGTTTTTAATTTCAACCAAAAAGTAAATATTATTAATACTGTTGTTGTTGTTGTTGCCAGGTAACTCATGTACTGTATTCTCCACCGCTGCTTAGTCCGTACGCCAGTATGTTATTTTTGGCGGAGTGTTTGATGTTCGAGAGAGATGTGGCCATATGGAACCGAAAAAAGTTTGAGAAACAGCCGATGCTCGTTAAAGAAGAAAAAAGTATTCATACGTACCGCAGGTGGTATTCCCAGTTTTATTCGCAGCATAGCCCCAGTTATCAATCGGTTATAAAATCTATACAATGGTAGCCATTTAATAACGTTCAATTAGATTTTATGATATTAATAATAATTGTAACAGCAATAGGATTAAAGTTTACAATGAATACATACAGTATAGACTCGTTATAAGCAAAACGCTCGGGACCGGACTTTTGCTTCTAACGTGTAGTTCCACCATTGTTTGATATTTGCCGACTGCTTCGAACGTAGAAAAGGACAGCGAGTGAAAAAGAGGACGGAGCGAAAACAAACCGTTCTATGTCAGCTAGGCAACAACGTAAGTTTGTTATTTATCATTTTTTTTCTATAAAACTTTTTCCATGATATTTCTGACATTTTTGTAATTAAAATGATACCAAACACGATATAATTCGGACCATATTTACTGTGTAAACTAGTTACAACCAAACGCACGGAACTGTCTTTCGAAATCCTCGCACATTGTGTTTTGCATCGGACCGAACAAATATACACGGTAAGTATGGTCCGAATTATATCGTGTTTGGTATCATTTTAATGTCAGAAATATCATGAAAAGTTTTATAAAAAAAAAAAATGAAAAATAACAAAGTTAATTTGCCTCATCGACATAGAACGGTTTGTTTTCGCTCCGTCCTCTTTTGCACTCAAGGTCCTTTTCTACGTTCGAAGCAGTCGGCTAACATCAAACAATAGTGGAACTACACGTTATAGGCAAAAGTCCGGTTCCGTGCGTTTGGTTGTAACTAGTTTACACGGTAAATATGGTCCGAATTATATCGTGTTTGGTATCATTTTAATTAGAAAAATGTCAGAAATATCATGGAAAAAGTTTTATAAAAAAAAAATGAAAAGCAGCAAAGTTAGGTTGTTGCATTAGTGTTGCCTCACCGATATCTGATCCAAGATCATGTTACGTTACTCGGCGAGCGAGCTTCACGACGTCTCGAGGGGTATACCCCCCAGTGGTGGGGATGGTTTCTTTGCAAATATCGTACAGATCTTTTTAGCTTATAACGAGTCTATACTGTAGTTCTTAATGTAACACACACATAAGTACACTGAGTTGCATTGAACTTGTCGCAGTGAAGTTGGCTACAAATTCACTAACACATCCACGCTGCGTTGGTGAGACGATGGACGAGATCGACTCACCGACGCGGCGTGAATGTGTTAGTAAATTTGTAGCCAACTTCACTGCGACAAGTTCAATGCAACTCAGAGTACACATTTCATTTGTATAATTTTAATAATAGCTGTAGAAATAACGTAAGAATGTAACTATACAATTTACAATTTGAATACTACCCGATTGATTATGTTATTACTTATAAGTATTATTAAACGTTCTATCATACAAAAAAATAGAAAGTTGATATATATAATTATATTCTGTCATTTATTTTCTGATAGTTATCAAAATAAAATGAGAGTTAGTAAAACCTTTTAATGAATTCATTGAAATTTCTTTGCGTAACGAATCGAAGAACCTCTCTATACATATAGCCATCAGACCTTGCGAAAGGAAGATCACGTGATTGAATCGGAGGTCACGTGTCCTGAAATGCAGCTGATTGGTTAATCGAATCAACGGCGGTTGTTCGACATCCAAAAAACAGTTGAGGTTCCGGAATACGAAGACTTCGTTCTCGTCACGCATGGAAAGAGTATGGCTCCCGAATTAGGCCTGGATGATGTGAGTAATTTAAATTTCTCGCGGTTTTCTTTCTTGGCCAATCGCGTTTAACCTTGTGCTAATTCGGTATTTTGGCGGCCAGTTTAGAGAAACATAACCTTCGTTGAGTCAAATCTCTTTTATTATTAATTATTTAATCGCTTGTAGTTACAATTTATCGTTCATAAAATGAAAAAAAAGATCATTAGTGATATAAAAAATAAAAGAGAAAAAATACTATAATTAAGAGAGGAATTAATTAAGTTTGTGCATTTGCAACAATCATTTTACACGCTGTTATGTGTTTATACAAAATTATGTGCTATCGGAGTGATAAAAGGAATCAACTAATTCTGTACAGAATATTATCGTAATGTCATATCAAAAAATGATTTTCTTCAGAATTGAAGACAAGTAAATGTTGAAAGTGAAAATAATTGATAATATCATGCAAATGCGATCGTATTTAACCGGAGTAAAAAACTTTAATCATCATACATGTACAAATTTTAATATAATAAGAATAGAATTTTAAATGAAAAGAAAGGTGTCTTTCTTTTCAGTCAAGAGATTAATAAAAAATAAGTAATCCTACTCAATTTTTTGAGCAATTGTAAATTTAGATAGTAATTAGAATAAAATTATACGTAAGTAATACAATTATAATCTGCTGATAAGAGAAACTAGTATTCAAAAACTTCACACTTTTCTTATCAGTTCTTTGTTTGGTTGATAGTAATGTAACTTTCAACGAACGAACAAAACAAGAATATAATCATTCAATTTAACTGATCTTTAAACTTTACTATATAAGTAACATCACTGTTATATACTGTGATTGATAAATCATTGGGTTAAAGAAATGGGTGTGTGACATTGCAGTCAAAATTAACCTATTGTGTAATAAGATTTAATTAATATATATTCTTTAGGTTACAAAGAATTAATGCGTACACTTAAGTAATAAATTTACCAAATAACAGTACTTAAATAAACATATGATATGTTGTGTATTGATCATTTAATCTTTTAAACATTAAATGTATTTATTATATATTTCATTTTTATAAAGCTACATTTAGGGATTAATTTTATAGTAACGATACATAATGCTTTTGACCTCATTTCTTGTATATCTAATATGTTTCATTTTATATAATGCAATTTTTATAGTTTAACATTGTAATATAGTTATAATAGTAATCAAATATTTATATAATTTTTCATATCTGTGGAAGATCTTTTATTGTTGTTTCTACCATAAATGATAAATTTGAATATTTTTTGGATTTATATTTACTAATAAATTCAACAAATATTGATGTAAAAAATTTATTTCTTTTCCCTTTCTACATATGTAATATAGTTATTAAGTGACATTGTTATTTTTATTTATTAAAATTTTCTTTTCTGATGCAGTTTCCAACACTGAAGTTAAAACATGTCCATATTAGAGACAAAAAATGTCTGTTGAAAACAATAAATACAATTCTGAAAGATGGACGTAATGCTTTGCAGGTATGATTATATTATAATAATCGAAATAATAAGTATACGAATTAAAGCAAGATACTAAATGTTAAATAATATGTTACTTTATAAATTTATATTTTTTTTAATGTTGTTTTTATTTAAAATTACCCTATTTCTATTTGTTCCCATTAACTGCTGTATTTCTCGAAATAATATTCTATTTTGGACATGTTTGTAAACTTGAGATGAAAATTGTTTTAAAAATATTTTCAGGTAGTTACCGATTTTGACTTGACACTAACAAAACAACATGTTAATGGAAAAAAAGTTCTCAGTAGTTTTGGTATGTAATACATTGATATCATCCTTTATTTAATTGAAAAATTTTGAAACAACTATTTATGATAATCCCAAGAGAATCGGATAATTTTTTATATCTTTGAGAAATTATTTTTTAATTTTCAAATAAACAGGGATATTTAGTAAATGCAAGCAGCTTCCTGAAACTTACAGAAGAGAATCCAATCGCCTTTATAAAAAATATAGACCAATTGAAATAGATCCCACATTACCAGTTGAAATAAAAGCAGAAGCAATGACAAATTGGATGATAGCAGCAGAAAATATATTAAAGGATATACCGTTTGATCAAAAAGAAATATCAGAAGTAGTCAAAATTTATGGATCAGATTTAAGGGATGGTACTAAAGAACTTTTTAAAAAACTGCATTCCGCTGGAATTCCGGTACTCGTTTTTAGCGCTGGCTTAGGGGACGTTGTTGAAGCTGTTTTAAGAACCCAAGGAGTTTTATTTGACAACGTGAAGGTAATACATCTGATACTCAGAGTATAGCTTTAACAACTTCTTTAATTTTTCACTGAATAAAGTTTTACTATTAATTTATCAAAGTTTAAATTAACCAGACAATAATCATCATTTTAATCTCAAGGTTATCTCCAATTTTCTTAAATACAAAGACGGAAAAATAGTAGGATTTGAGAATGAAAGACTAATTCATGTTTTTAATAAAAATGAACATACAATTGAACAAGAATACTTGAAAGTTCTTGAAGGAAGAAGAAACGTTTTTTTAATGGGTGATACTACAGGAGATGCATCAATGGTGGATGGGATGGGAGATATAGGTGCAGTGATAAAAGTTGGTTTTCTTTATGATCATGTAAGTATTATGTATTACATTAAATGTTTCTTATCTATCACTATTTCCTTAATCTTATTTCACAAATTTTATGTAAAATGTTTTCCTTAAAATCCTCCTTTCGTGTTAATATATTATTAAGTGTATCAAATAAAAACTCTTAAAATTGTTTCAGATTGAAAGTAGTCTGTCCTCATTCATGGAAAAATTTGATATTGTTTTGGTTGATGATCAAACAATGCAAATTCCAATTAATATTCTAGAACCACTACTATAATGTATATTACTAATTATAATTTAATTATATATATATATTTTTATTTATAACATCCTTTAATTCAATTCCTGGTAAATAACATCACTGTAATTACAATTAATTTAATTTAATTTGTCTAATTTAAAACACATCATTTTATGTCTGTTTTTTAACAGAAGTTACTGAAACCTAATTAAACTTGTTAAAGTGATTCAACAAATATATTTATTGTTACAATTCAATTTATACAGGTAAAATTTAGTTTTTATAATGTAAACGTTGTTAAAATTTTACAAATTCAATCAATATTTATATGTAATTAAAATTTGTAATTATTAATACAACCTTGGAAAAACTGTGAAAATAAATGGAAATAAAAGATGAGATGTGTTAATTGAGTTATTCACAGATAAAGTGATTAACTCCACTTTTTAAACTTTTTATACATTATCAATTTCTCTATTTTTCGTATTTTTTTTGGAGTAAGTCGATTTGGCAAATTGGTGGTTCAATTATAAATAATTATAAAAAAATAATAATTTCTAAGTGCGCCACAATCTTTATACTTTTTTTAAAAGGAGGGGAGTTGAGAACCATTATCTGTCACTGATGCAGCGTTACTAACCACAAAGTGGTTTGTGCTTTTTATTTATTAAAGTATGACAATTTAAATTTTAAGAAGATTATGATCGTAAGTTATTTCCAATTTGCTAAATGGTATAATTAATCTTGAAGTACAAGTTTCTCAATATACGTATATCTTCATTAATATCCATTAAAGTAAAATAATGTCTCCACCTTCTTTTGATAGTCCTCCATTACACAATTCGATTATCGATTGTGATCGATATTAAATATCTTTTTTTTGATGACATTACGAATTACGAATCGATTTAAGAATATTTAAATAATACAAATTTTAGTTAACTTCAAATCATGTTCACTAATTATAAATTTAAAATGAAATTCTTTTTATAGGTCTAATGTATAGCATTTTCAATTTCTTTTCGAAATTGAAGACATTAGTACAAATAAATTTGAAAAATTGGTGATAAAAGATTAATATTAAATGAACAGTATCGCAGAATCTTGTAATCAACTCAAGAAAGAATATGATGGGTGTTTTAAAGTTTGGTTCTCCGAAAAGTTTATGAACGGAGATTTTGATGAATCAATGTGTTCGAATTATTTTAAATCTTACATCCAATGCCTTCAGGTAATCATTTCTATTTCTGTTCTATTCTATGCAGTTACATTATTTAAAAGAAAACTCAACATTAAAAATACTACATAGACAAAATTGCTGTTTCTATAATAATCATTACATGAATCATAAAAAGAATATAAATTTATAGCGTACAACAATTTGTAAGAAAAATTTAAATTAATTAAACTTCCAAATTTGTTAAATTGTACACAAACATTGAATAGAACATTACAAATTGTGCTATGAAAATATTCTGATATATAAGGTACATAGTCGATTCATACTGCAAACGCGAACGATTGAACCTAAAAAATTGTGTGATAGATACCCCAAACAATTAAATTATCTAAATTCTGTTTTTTCACATAATCTAATGATTGGAAAATAAATTACTTTGAGAAATAACTAGTCATTCTGACTGAATCAGTGTTTAAATTAATGAATACACGTGTGAATGATATAGCAAAATAAGGTTAAAACCTTTTGATAGAAATAAATGTAACAATAAGTTATGGAAGCTTGTAAAGAATTAAAAGAAAAATACGATCGGTGTTTTAATGATTGGTTTGCTGACAAATTTTTGCGTGGAGTCCATGACGATAGTGAATGTGCATCGTTACTTAAACTTTATACTGAATGTGTCGCGGTAAGATAAATTGATCATTCTTCTTAATTTTGAAATTTTATTGCGAAATAAATTTTGCATATGTATATATATTTCCATGCACTAGTTTTTGCTTTAAAACTAGTCTTAACGAATTAATATGTGTTCGTGTTAAATTGTATAAATCTGATGTAACTGTATTGTAAATTTTTTAATTAGTTTATAACCTACAAAAATGTATCAAATACAAGGACAAATATTAAATCCATCAAAACTTTTAACAATAATTAGAAGACTGACGTTTAATTTCAATTTTTAATTAACTTTTATATGGTATGGAATATAAAATTTATTATGTTTATTTTTTTCAGCAAGCCATGAAAGAACAAGACATAAATCTGGATGAAATAAATATTGCCCATTTGGGAACAGAACGAGAGAAAAAAAATGAAACTTCATAACTATGATTTTAGCAAAATTTTCAGTTTTTAAATTTTTGTTACAAACTGTGTTTTCATGTACATGTAAATAAATTATTATAATTGCAGTTTCTTTTCTATTTATGTTCCAGTGATGTTACAGTGATATTCATATGTAGCTTTTATTTTCCAATACAAAAATTTTGAAAAATCACATCTAGAATTTCTTCATTACTAATGGAACCAGTTATTTTTCCAAATTCTCTTGCTGCTCCTCTGATATCTTGTAAAGATATAGCCATATCATAATTTGGAAGTTTAGTTCTTTTCAAATACTTTTCAAGGTACTTTATAACATGTGATAAATGATTCCTATATCTTGCATGACTGATTACAGGATTTTCTGTAGATGGATCACCACATCTAAAATTAATTAATTAAATAAAAATGCTTGGTTTGAATAAAGTAATTAGTTAAGGCAATAATTTTAGTCTTAAAGAAAAAAATACTTACATTTCTTCAAAACAATTTCCTAATGCTTCTATAAGTTCTTTTAAACCTTCTTGTGTTTTACATGAAATAGGAACAACATTCTGACTTTTCCATTTTAATATTTCTTCTTTTTCAAGTAAATCTACTTTATTTAGTACTATAAGAATCTTTTCTTTTTCTACACCCATGATGTTTTTATAATTCTCTAAGAACTCTTCAAAAGAATATTTTAATCCATTGTTTGCACTAATTACACACATGACAAAATCAGCTCTTTTCGAGCATTCTCTTGCTTTTCTAATGCCTTCCACTTCTATTTCATTTTCAGGATCATTTCTGATTCCTGCAGTGTCTGAAAGGATCATTGGGTATCCACATATGTTTGCTGTTAATTCTATAACATCTCTTGTGGTGCCAGGAAAAGCTGAAACAATAGCTGCATCTTTTTTAGAAAGAAGGTTTAAAAGACTACTTTTTCCTACATTAGGTTCTCCAAGAATTGCCACATGCACGCCTGTGCGCAATATTTCTCCTTTTCGTCCATCAGAAAGATGCTGTTGAATTTCTAGAGATAATTTTTGTATTGTACTTTTGGCATTTTCCAAGACATTAGATTCTAAATCATGCTCTTCAGAAAAATCAACATAAGCTTCTAAACTTGCAAGAATATTTAATAGAGTCAGGCGCCAAGAATCGTATAGACGACGTAGAGAACCACTAGCTTGGTTAGTAGCCTATTGAATATGTAATAGAAAATATTTATATAATATTCTTTCTTCAGAATATCTTTTCTAAAGAATAATGTTAGTGAACTGCAATTAGATCCGTCTGTACCTGTTTACGTTGTTTTTCAGTTTCTGCCTCGATCAAATCACCTATGCCCTCGGCCTCAGTCAAATCTAATTTTCCATTCAAAAAAGCTCTCTTAGTAAATTCTCCAGGAGACGCTAATTGAAAATGTAACTTTGAAAGAGCATTAAGAATTGATATCACTACTGCAGGGCCTCCATGAACATGGAATTCTACAGAATCTTCTCCAGTAAATGATTTTGGCCCTAAAATATATCATGTATTTTAAAACCAAAGGTATTTTTCATAAACATGTATCTTTGTAATTAAATTTTCTGAGAGTACCTGGAAACCAAAGGCAAAGGCCTTTATCCAGAACTTCTTTTGTCTCTGGATCATGAATTTTTCTTAGCAATGCTATTCTAGGTTTTAGTGTTGATACTTTGGTCATTTCTTTTAAAGCTAATGATGCTTTTGAACCAGTTATACGAATCACTGCTACTCCACATTTACCATATCCTGTTACAAAAAAAAATTATTATTATTATTTGAATTAAATGATGGTTGAACTGCAATTGACTTGATTAAGATAATATTTTTAATTAAGTAAAACAATCCCTAATCACAAATTATAAGAATTTCTAAATTCTTTTACGTGTGAATGAATATAATGATATTTAGATTCAAAATAAGTTTTTAATATTTTTTAATATTGAAAACCGATTATACATAGCATAATATTGATTTCAATAATACTGTTATAAATTCAAAAATAAATGCTTGAAATATTTTTAAAATTGATATCCCAAGGCGCATGCGTAGTTAAAATTGGCGGAATACAAGAAGAGTCTCTTCGTCGAAAATCGTGTCATTATAATGTAATTTAATAGATAAAATCATATACTGCATGTAATTTTACGAAGGTTCGGATAAATGAAGAAGATACAGAAAATAATGTAATAACCAGAGGAGAGTGCATATATTGTGGAACTTCTGTTGTGTTCACTGAAGTATCTTTGCTGTGAAATCGATGAACCAAAGACAGTGTATCTCGTTCTTTCTAAAGTCACAGTATATTCCCATATTTTATTGTTCATAAACTTTTGAAACATTTGAATGTTAAATACTGTACATTGATGACTTTGTTCGACGAAAAAAACACTTTATTTAGGCATTTGCTTCAGAGTAGATTGGATTCAGGTTAGGTGTATAAACATAAGTAACAATATGAGTATTGATGAGAACACAAGAAGGAAATCAAGAACTAGCTGGTAACTGTGAATTTAAAACAGAATCTCATATAAATTAATTAATTTTGTGCATTTTTATTCTATATTAATTGATTTTATTGCAGCAATTATTGAAATGTGGCTTGAATAAAAAAGCAAAATTGGAAAATGGCAGAGTTTGAAAAAAAATTAATAACTAGCAAAGAGGTGCAACAACGATGTAACGATTGGGTAGAATCACAGAAAAATTGTCAATATACGGATGAAGCACAGTATAAAAGGAAATTAACAGATGACGATGATATTTATAATACTGATTCAGAATTCGATTCCGTCTCAGAATGTGGCACGAAAAGAAGAAGGGTTGGTTTACCGCTAAAATGTGAAGTTTATCATCTTTTTTGCGAATGGATTAGTTGTGAGTACGAGTCCAATCACGTTAAAAGATTCGTAGACCACGTGTCTGAGCACGTGTCAGATCTAAGTACGCGAACCAATGAAAAAGATATAACTGTTTACGTGTGTCAGTGGAATGGCTGTTTCTATGAAAGCAATGATCCTGATGAAATTACGCGACATGTGAATTACCATTCATACCATACGAAGCTGAAATGCATTGGATCAAATATTCGCGCCAGAATTAAATTGCCCGTAAGATCCATTATTTTTTAAAAATAAATTTTTAAAACCTAATCACAGACTTAATTTTTAAATAATTTTGATTAATTAACATACGAAAATTCTAGAATTACAAAATTTCTGAGAGTAAAATAATTTTATTTTTATTTTAAGCTTCAATATTTTGTTTCAGAAATGTCGTCGAGATTCGGAATGGAAAAATGTAGTGGAACTTCCAACACCTCTTCTCTGTCGTTGGGAAGAGTGCTTACAATGTTTTAAAAACTATCAAGTATATTTATACCATGTAGCTGCTCATATCGAAGGAAATCCAAGGGGTAACAAAATTGAAGGAGGTTTAGAATGTAAATGGACAGGGTGTAACAGTACCTGTGCTAATTTATACAAACTAAGAGACCATGTACGACGACATACAAAAGAAAAAATCGTTGCTTGTCCTGATTGTGGTACTACATTTGCTTCTAACACAAAGTTCCATATTCATTGCAAACGACAAATACCAATCGATGGTACAATTAATTCCATTTTAAAAAAGTACAATCAAGTTATGCAAAAGATAATTCGAGTCAATCTTTATTAGTTCAGGGATTCCAGTGCTCCCATTGCAACAAGTTTTATCCTACAGAAGGAATTTTGAGGGATCATATGCGAATGCATGTTTTCAACTATAAATGCACTCTCTGTGATATGAGTTGTGAGTCACCATCTAGTTTGGCCACACATGTTAGATATCGACATGTTTCTACGAGGAGCTTTCCATGCCAGCTTTGCAATCATGCTGCCAAATCGCAACAAGATTTAGATTCTCATATGACGGTTCATACGAGTGGACCGAACTTTTCTTGCCATTTTGATGGATGTCTGTATAAATGCAAGGGTGCATATACTCTTGATAGGTAGATGATACAAATTTTCTTCTTATCGTTCTTATCAATAAAATAAGTTATTACTATAGAAAAATATATTTTAAGGCACATAGAACGAGTTCATGGTATGCAAGTACGATGGTACTGTTGTCACGAATGTCCAATAAAATACAGAAAAAGCTATAGATTAACGAGGCATTTAATCGAAGCGCATAGATTACAATTACCTAGCGGTCATACAAGATTTCAGTACACTCATGAAGAAGATGGTTGCTACAGATTGCAGAAAGTTAGATATGAAGCTATTGAAGAAGAGAATGATTCTTCAATTGGAAATTTAAAAAACCAAAATAAAAAATTTAAAATTAAGTTAAATGAGAATGCTAGTGTACCACAAGTGGAGGTAGTATCATTATTTAAGATAAAATTTGAACTATAACTAATGGAAATATGAAATATAATTTTTACTATTTTAGATTTATGAAGATGTGGGTGAAGAAGAAAATGTAGATAAAGGAAGTACGGAGAAATCAGCGGAGGAACCAGACGAAAGAAAATCTTTACCTGTGCTTTCGAATATTTTAATATCCATTGACGAAACTGATGCACAAGGCAATATAGTTAATAGTAGAATCGTAGAAGCACAGGAAACTAGGGAACTACCATCTTCTAAAGGATCGCCATTGATTTTAACATAAAACAATTGCAATTATGAACAAATTTTTAAATAAAATTCCAAATAAACCAAATGTTTTTTATCAGATATATTACTTTAATATATTTTTCATTATTTAAGTTGTTATCTCAAATAATTATAATGACTTAGTAGAAGTAGATTATTTTCTTCATAAATATAGAAAAATTAATTACCTACGAAGCTAATTTGAGATCGAAACATGCTTCATCTTCTATTTCCAGTGAATCGGGAGTATCTGTTAATGTAATTAATTCTCCATCAAAATATAATTTAATTTTTGATTCCTCGACGTCTAAAGCTTGAGCACATTTTACAGAAAGAACTTGGAAATTTTCATCTCGTTTAACGGATACGGTTATGGTTTTCTTTGTTGTTGTTTGTACTTTTATAACACAAGTGTTCTCATCATTCTCTTCATAATTTTGAGGTGTAGTACTGTCTTTCTTGACAATACCTCCTTCTGCAAAGATGTTATTATTTGAAACAACCAAGTATTTATATTTTTTATTTAAAATAATGATTAATGTACCAAGTATGTCTATCACAGATAAATTAATAGAAGCCGGAGTATCACTCTTTTTAATAATTTTATCCTTCTTTGTTATTAAAATCTCATCTATTGATACCTTTTCTAAATCAGCAAAATACTCGAATATTTTATGGAAGTTTTCATTCTGAAACAATAATTATCGCTCTGAGTAATTTGTTTAATTATTTATATATATATATATATTTTCCAGGGTACATACTTTACGAATGTTCAGGCGATGCACGTTTCTTGATCGCCAGAGAATTTTTACAGACAGATCATAGTTCTCATCCCCAGCAGGATTTGAAGTTTCATCTACACAATTTTCTACTATTAATATATCAATTTCATCACCTGCTGCTGTTGGATTTGATTTTTCTTCTACAGAAACAATTTCCAAATCTGAATCTTGATCAGCTGAAGTTCCCTATAAAAAAGCAAAAAAAAAACCGGTAATGAATATAAAAACTGAAAATGTTTTTATACAGAAGCATGCATATGGATATTTTGATTTTATCTAATTCACAATTAAACTGAATTATGATTATTTTTGTTTTACACTTATAAATTATTTTACTTGTTTCTGCCTTGATGAGCTAGTACCAGCAGTTTTCCTTCTACCGCTTGTTTTCCTCTTTGGCCTTTGTTCTTTTACATTTTTTTGTGGTATTTGAATCCTACAAATTGATAACTTATATAAACCTTATAATAAAACCATTTATATTGTGCTACCTCTGTAACAAATCTAATGATATTAATGAGATTCAATTGCAAATTGTAAAAGCTTAAAAACTTGCTTCAATTCTTCTGGTTTCTCTTCTACTTTTTCCTCAGTCTGTTGACTGCCATGTGGTAATGTTTGCTTCTTCTTCAGAGCTGCAAATAAATTTTTAATTAGTATTTTAAATCTTTTATCATTTAAAAATTAAACCTTAGAAAGAAATTTCAAATCATGTTTAAAAAGAATTTGAATTATTACAATTTGTATACACACCTTTTAATACTGCTACAGCATTCAAATACACATCATCATCCTCAGATGAACTTCCTAACTGCTCTGTTTTCATCACTTAATATTCAACGATATACAACATTCACAATATTAAATAAATAGAAGTGTTTTTAAATATTTACTACAAAAAGATAAAATAAGGTTAAATTTAATATTTTTTTCGGTAGTACATAGTTTACAGTAGCATATAAAGATAATATAACTACATTAGAAACATAACAAAGTGTATATAACATTGACATACATTATAATATATAATGAAATAAAAAGTTTCGTTTGAACATCACAAATTTATTTTGCACATTGTATGTATATTGTATCAGTATTATATATGTAAACTCCATCCATGCCCCAGGCCCTTCCAGGCTCACCAAGCTTCGCTCTTGTGAATTTGATGCAAATTTTAACTCGGCGCAGAAAATCCAGGCGGCGTTGATGTCGCTTCTCTACATGCATACCTTGTATCATTGATTTTGACATATGCAACTAAAGATATCGTGACGTCATGTTCCCGCGAATTTGTCGCCGCGCTTTTCAATTGTTTCAAAATTTAAAGAGACTGAAGAAATATGGCGCACAGTGAATGACAGAATTTTCAGGTTCGTGAATTCCATTATTATAATTATTACTATTGCTATTATTATTATTTAAAAAGATATTGTTAAAAATTTTTTCTAGGTGTTTAGCTTTTTCAATAACTTCTGCTGATGAGATGCAGCAACAGGAGGAGAAGATAGTAATTAAGTAACTACAGAACTTTTTTAAATTGTTACTGAAATCATTAACTATTTACAATGCTATTTTAGTAATATATTTAATTTTAATTATTAAAATGTGTCTTTAAAGAAAGCGGAAGAAACTATGCAGTATCAGAGGGTGTACTAATGAAAACAGCAGGATGTTCTCCTTCCCCCAAGAGAGAAAGGATAAGAAGAGGATGGCGCAGTGGGTGGAAGTATGTGACAACCCAAAGTCAGTGCTTCCACCTGATTACTGAAATTCCAGGTGATCTGTAGCAGCTACTTTAAAGAAAGATACTTCATGAGGAAAAGATTAACAACATCAGCAGTTCCAACACTGAACTTACTTAGTAATAACTCTTATATACTTTTTATAGCATATGTAAATAATTGTTAATGAAAACATTTATTACACAGTGTCAGAGACTGCTTTAAATAGAGCAACAAGACACCTGGATGGAAATGAAAAAAAGAAGATTGTAAGTATTCAGTTTACATACATAATATATATAACCATTATCATAGTATTAATACACTGTATAATGTTATATAATTTTATTTTTATAGTTAAACTTGACTGCACCAGGGGAGTGAAAAACGTGATTTTCGAGATATTCTGATGTATGAGTGTGATGCACACACACCCTGCCTGTAAGTATGCGGACACCTTCTAAAACAGAATACTCTTTTTAAAATTGGACCAAATAACTTAAAATTCTTTGAGGAGCTATAAAAATTAATATACTAGATGGGCCTGTAATGAAGATTAAAGACATACATTTTGTAGATGTAAATAAGCTATATGTATGTTGAAAATGTCAACTCGTCTAAAAGTTATAAGCAATTGAAATTAGTGAAAATCGTGACTGGTTGGGAATAATTTTCACTGATTTCAATTGCTTATAACTGTTAGACGCGTTGACATTTTCAGCATGTATATAGCTTACTTATATCTACAAAATGTATGTTTTTAATTTTCATTATAGGCTCGTATATAAAAGTTGAAAAATTATCCTTCACTATTTTCTTTGTCATGATTTCAACAAATTGTAATTGTTTAAAACGACCAGGCACATCATCTGGTAAATCAATTTTTTACAGCTCCTTAAAAAATCTCATCTGGTCCATTTTTAAAAAGAACATTCTATTTTAGATGGTGTCCACATACTTATAGACGGAGATGTACTTATGTATGTTTTGTATTGTATGTATGTAAATTAATGTGTGATTTATTGTATGATTCTATTTTTTATATTATTATTGATATATATATATGTATATATATACATTTATTATATTTTAGTAAAAGTTTAATATATTTTCATTACTCCACATATATTGTAATCTTTTCCTTCCCTTTATTTTTATTTTTCGAAGTTTGTGCTGAAGTAAAAATGGCAACACCGCGGGAGTCCGGTCTGAATATATCAACACCTACCCTACTCTATCTGCCTCCCGGACTCCCAGACTCTCAGCCAATCAACGTCGTCAGACTCCCAACTACTCTCTGGACTTCACATAACCTCTTTGGTTTCGTTCCAATAATTTCGCTTGTTTCAAGGTTTTTGTTAACTTATATACACGTTCATCAATTCTTAAATGTTTCAATTTGATCCAAAGATGGTTTCATTTTGCTTTATACCTAAATTTTCTTGAAACCACTGTAAATATTTCAAATATCATGCTTCACAACACCAAACTACTTTGAGAGTACACAAAATATATATCACATTTATAATAATTTTATACTACCACATCACTTCTATTTGCCATAGTTGCAACGTTTATATATTGTTTATACATAATTAACACAAAATAGTATATATTACTACAGATTTTAATTAAAAAAGACGTTAATTACAATTCCGAGCACAGGACTCTGTTTTTGAAAATAGGACTCCCGATTGTCACGTGAGCGGTGTTGCCACGTTGTTCAGCATGGCTAGTACTAGAGTCGGCTGTGCCGTTGAGGTTGGCAACAGGACTGATTCTACCGGTAAGAGTTCAAATATCAACAGTAATAACGACTATGAAACGAAGGAAAAGTTCATGTACGAATATGGAAAGGCGAAAATAATAGAAAACATTGAAATAAGGAATAAGATTAAAATCCAAGACAACACGGCTAACGCACACTGACGCACAAGGACTAGAGACGGATTTAACAGTGAAAAAAAACAAAAATTTAGAAAATACACATAAAAAAGATACACACAAAGGAAACAACGCAGTAACCCAGATAAACGTTCATTCTTGTCAAGAAGCCATGTCAAGAAGCCTGAGCAAGATGAGACGGATGTCTGTGAATGCAATACGGTAGGCGGGGATTACATCGTCTGCGTTAACCTGAAAAAGGAACAACTGCCTAATAAAAGTCCGTGTACACAATCAGTCTTTTGCTAAATTTCTTCTCATTATACAATTTCAGAGTCGTCTTAGGGTCAGCACTAAAGGTAAATTGAAATCATTCGTTGTCTTTCTTCATCACCACAGTAGCTCCCATTGCTTCGCTGTCAGGTTTCTTGGCTCCAGAAGATGAGCCAGCCGCAGCTACCTGTCTACCAGTCTGCTATTCGATCAAGGGAGCCATCATTCCAAGGCCAACATCGCTTACCTCAACCAGCTTCCTCATTGCAACTTGGTACGTTTCATGGTTATCTCTGAAATTTTTTATAGTATTAGAGATATTTTGGTCCTGTATGCAACTAGCCCTGTCGAGAGCTGCAACCATCCAGATAAGCAAATGCATCTGGTTGTTTTCTATTTTTTTTAAAGATATATTTTGATGTTAGGAGCTCCCCTCTTGTATCCAACTGCAGTTTCCATGTGCATAACATTAGAAGAGGTTGTTATATGGTAACTCATTGCAACTTTCATACCAGTGTTCTGTACTTTTTAATTTCCTGCTTGCTTTTGCAGTTGCAATTCCACTATATTATTATTCCGTATTCGATCACCGACTTTATTTTTGAATCCTGATTGTATGGTTTTAACTCTTGTTTTTAATAATTACGTAATTTCAGTTTATAATTCTTCAATAAAATAAAACTTTGAAATACATTAACTTGCGAAACACTTAAAAACAAAGAGATGAACTGCTTTCTTTGTTGATATTTTTCTTAATATTTAAGTTTTTTATATATATACATACAGTGGGTTCAAAAAGTCTGCGTACACCGTTTAAAACAGAATACCTCATTTACAATTGGACCCAATGACTATGTTTTTCGAGAAGCTATATAAATTAATTTACTAATATAGGCTGTAGTTCTGAATAGCCCCGGTGGCCGATCGACATGGGCTTTGGAGGGGTGAGAGGGGGGAGGGAGAAAACCCCAAATATAAAACGGTATCCACATCAGACCAGTAGTTCCGGAGATATTAATTAAAAACTTTCGCAGAATACATAGAATTTTGCCTATATAGACGTGACTAACACAACCATCCCCGCTGTAGAAACCGTGGTCGTCAAGCGTCAAGCAGCCGATGGCACAGTAGGGGGTCTCGACCTGGGTATCTACAGGGTGTCGTATATGTATAAAGCGCATTATTTTGTAAACTGTGGTTCACGTTTACATTAATCTCGTCGTTTTACTCGTTTTGATATGCTGAATACGAATATGATTTTTGTTTTTAATGGAAATAACAAGCTGTCGAAATATTCGCAAACAACTTTACACAAAATTTTACCCAATAATGTAAGGCATATGTAAGGCGAATTTGCCAGTTATACATATACGAACGGAAGGTAACACTTTGTTCGTCTACGAATATCAAACCGTAGTAGGTTAGGTTAGGTTAGGTTATATTCTCCGTGGCGGGGGTGCCGGGGGAAGGGCAAAGCCTAAAACACAAGAATAATTACTTTAAATACAATGGTACAATGATCACAACTGAATGAGACACCCTATAGATACTCAAGTCGAAACCCTCTACTGTGTCATCGGCTACTTGACACTCGACGATAACGATTTCTACAGCGGGGATGGTTGTGTTAGTCATGTCTGTATAGGCAGAAATCTATGTATTCTGTGAAAGTTTTTAATTAATATCTCCGAAACTACTGGTCTGATGTGGATACCGTTTGATATTTGGGGTCTCCCCCCCCCCCCCCCCCCCGGGGACCCTCCCTCCGCCACGACTATTCGGAACTATACCCCTAACATATGTGCTTTTGTCGTTTTAAAAAATTACAATTTGTTAAAGCCGTGAAAAAAAATAGTGAAGGATAATTTTTTAACTTTTTTATATGACCCTATAATGAAAATTTTAAAATATGTCTTTCGTAGATTCAAATAAGTTATGTGTGTGCTGAAAATTTCATCGAGATCGGTCAATGCACTTAGAAGTTGCAAGTAATTAAAATTTCCGAAAATCGCGACCTTTTCATCTAAGAACGGAACTAGTTCCGTTACTAGTGAATTACCATTCACTATTTTTAGTGTCACGTTCTTAGAGTCACATAAAAAAGTTGAAAAATTATCCTTCATTATTTTTTTTCACGATTTCAACAAATTGTAATTTTTTAGGCTGTAGTTCCGGATTGCCGAACGACCGGTTGCCGATCAAGATGAAATTTTGAGGGGCGGGGGGCAAAGATAAAGTGGTAGGTTGAACTTCGCTTTAGGGGATACAAAAATATGCCTGTTTTTTTTTTCAGTTTTCAGGTTTTCACTTCAATAGTTTTTTATACGCAAAATCCAAAAATGCAAGTTGTAATTGTCGAAATGCAGCGGTTTAGAAGTTACACGTATCTGAAATGAAGCGTTTTTAGCACATTTCAGAGGTTAGCATGACGCCATATTGCATTCATCCTCACTTTGATTGGCCCTCGTACGGACCACACTCTGATTTCCGCTTACCTTATGTGAAAACATACTGACTTCGAATCGCTTCAATCATAGATCCAAATAAATCTATTTTGTGGTGACGGCAAAACCGCCTCCACAAATATTCGCATAAGTGGTCTGCAAATTCGTCATTGTGAAATCGCCCCCTTCCTCTCATCCAATCTTTTGCCGGCCACCAAGTGGATTGAATTTTCTGTGTGTGAGTTCCATCAGTACTCGCAATTATATGTTTTGCAAAATTGATATGATATTATCAAGAAATAAACGCGTTGACGGGGGAGCCCCCCTTCCCCCCTCCCCCCCGAAATTATATAGTCCAACCTAACCGAATTCAAATGCATGTATAACAATAACACAAGTACATATAGTCCACATAAAATTCACACTTACACACAAATTCGATACTGTGATTCACTGTTTTATGTACGAAGCACTCTGCAGCTAGCCCCGCGTAACTTTTAAAACTGTCGGTGTGGATTTCGCTGCCCATAGCGACATGCTCCTTTATTATGGGTATTAAATTATTGGCTTCACAATTTTCGACAACTATCATCCTGCAGTCATTTGTCTGTGTGTCGACAATCCCCAGAACCTAGTGTTCTTTCGCTACACGACCGTGATTGTAGTTACGTTTACCGAACTTTGCTTCGTCAATCTTGAATAACATTAGAATGACAAAATGAAAATAATTAAAATGGAAAAACAGCAATATGAAATTGTTATATACGATACCTGAACAACGATCGGAGAACCAAACTACGAGATACCACCCAACTTTGGTTGGCCTGCTTGAATTTTTATAAATTGGTCGGTTATCATTTCGCGACAATAATGATAGCACGCCGCTATTGTCGAGGGTGACATCGTGGTAGCTTCGCGAGAGAAAAATCTCGTGTGAAGCAGTAAATCAGTCTTAAAAAAATGAAACAATTTTCATAACAGTTTACAGCATAAGTTATTTATTAGTTGAAATGCTGCAACTTACGTGATCGCTTTATGTAAAGGCAAGCAAATTTCGTCGAAAAATGAATTTACCGTGGCTGCTGGATATGCAGGATATGCTGGACACCGAAACCGACCAAGTCCATGTTCTGTTTCCTGGTACACTTTCATGGGCTTGCGGTGTTTAGGACACATCTTATTTGTGCGCAATAGTCCTTGTTCTTGCGCCCAAGTAATTGCCTCTTCCTTTGAACTAGGCAAATTACGAAAGTTCCATCGTACAGATTGAATTGTTCGTTTGAAAACACTAAACAAGTTAAACAAACCAAATATAACAGAGAAGCAACAAAACAGCACAAGAAACACTAAAAAACAATTAAACAAAACAGTCAAAAACAAGAAACAAACGGCAAAAAATATAGCGGAAACCGTGGCACAGACAACTAAACTCTTGAAACGCATTGGAAATTCTGAAAAAATTCTTACCTGTAGGCTGCGAAACAATTGAAAAGGTAAAAAGTGAAACATGTGCAAAACAAATGTAGGTGAAACATTTGACTTAGCCCGCTAAAATGGTCGTCACCCACGTGGTTCTGTCTGCTGCTAGCGACACCGATCATTGGACAAGAAGCCAATATGGTGTCGTAGTAACGTAGCAAATGCACTAAAAGTGTCAAACTTTATACGCTCATTACTTTTAAACCGCTGCATTTCGACAGTTAAAACCTGCATTTTTGGATTCTACGCATCGAAAACTATTAGATTGAGGAGAAAAACGTGGATAATTTTGTGTCCGCTAAAGTGAAGTTCAGCCAAGTGGTATCTTCAGCTTCCTATTAATTTCCGAGATATTAATTAAAAACTTTCGTCCAATACATAGAATTTTTCCTATACAGACGCAACCAACACTACCGTCTTCGCTGTAGCAACCGTCATCGTCAAGTGTCGAACAGCCGTTCACACCATAGCGATATCGGCTTCCGTTTCTATAGGGTTACCCATGTAAAATCTATTTTTTTTAAAACTTTTTGTAACTTTTTCTTTTCCCTGTCGTAAGTTACCATTTATATGTAGGTTAGGTTAGGATAGGTCATGTTAGGCGGAAGGCGGCCGGCAACGCTGCAACAGTCGTCATATCTTCAAAGTTTTAAATAGAATACCCTATAGATAGTCGGGTTGGAACCCCCGCTGCGTCAACGGCTGTTCGACACCAGGCCTTCCAAACTCCCGTATTTCATGCTGTAACGAAATTTAGTGTTACGCCTCACTACCAGGGTCGCTGGTGTCGCTACAAACGCATACAGGGTGTCCCAGAACTCATTTTTACCCTGTGAAGGGGTGGTAGCTGGGGTGATTCTGAACAACTTTTTCCTTTGCGAAAAAGTTGTTTGAAGCTTCGTTTTTGAATTATTAAGGGGGTAGACACGGGTAATGCAGCGAGGTGACATTACCGGCAAAAACGGGCCTATTAATGGGTTTACGGGAATCGGTTATTTGTCCTTATATGAGAACACATAGGGCTGGGTAAGGGCTCATTCGAAAGAGGAAGGTCCAATGCAGGGCGGTCAACTCATGGTTTAACGAGATTATATGCATATTTAATAATATCAGTGTCGAAAGTAGAAGAAAAAATCGACAAAATGCAGTTGCAAATTGGAAGCATTTTTAGGCCACTAAAAGAGTTTTGTGACTCAAACGGTGAGTTGACCGCCCTGCATTGAACCTTTCTCTTTCGAATGAGCCCTTATTCAGCTCAAGATCTTCTCGTATAAGGACGAATAACCGATTCCCGTAAAAGCATTCCCAAAGACGAGTTCCGCCATTATCTGGATACTACAGAGCAAGTCAC